CTGTAGAACTTAGCGAGGACAAAAAGTCCGCGTCCGAGGGTCTTGCGGAGGGTGGTCTTGGCGGTTATAGGGTAGGGGAAGATGACCCAGAAGAAGGAGATGGCGCAGCCGGCGGCGACGGCGGCGAGTTTGTATGGGCCGAAGAGGTAGATGGGATAGTAGGGTTGGCCGTTGGAGGTGGCGACTTCGATGCCGAGTTTGCGGACCTGGTTGGGTTAGAGTGGGTTGTCATGAAGGGGATTTGGGAGGGGTTACTTGTAGCTCGTAGCCTACGATGACGTTTAGAGTGACGATGGCGATCACGGAGGCTCCGAAGTATTGTGGGACTTTGACGTAGAAGTAGTACTGTTGGATGCGTTAGTAGGTGGCTGGTATGTGGAGGATGCTGGCTTACCTCGAAGACATTGGCGAGGTAGAGGAATACTATGACACCTGGGGTCTTCTCGTCCACGATATACCACACAATCAAACTCAGGACTAACGAGACGGCTGTTGCGACGATGCGTGCCACGAAGCCGAACATTGTCTGTCCGCTGGTCGGGTTCATTCCGATCACAATGACAATCATGGCCCAGATGCATCTTTGGTGAATGAAGAAGTCCTGCGTTTTGCGTAGGTATGCCAGAATACCAACAGAAAATGCTGCTGCTGCAACTCGGAAGCCAAAAATACTTTGCTCGGAACTGATAATGTGCGATAAGTAGCGAAGCGCCAAACTGCCTTTCTCAAACCAGTTGGCTGGGGGCAGGTGTTCAGGATCTGGGAAGTTGTTCGCTTCGGTCTGGCCAAGGGCAGCTGGATCGACATGAGATGATTGTCTCCGATCCGGAGCAGAATTGCTGTCGTGGTCGGTATTAAGGGAAAGCCATTTACGGATGGTGTTGAGTCTGGGGAGAATCAGTCTGCTGCGCTTCATAGTGCCATCCTGGATTCGGTCATCAGCGAAACGGATCAAGTCGAGGGTCGCGGTCAGTAGGTTGTCCTGCAGATGTCCCATGAACAGGATGAGAAAGAACTCCTGCTTGACGTCAGGGTCTGTCGCAATGGCTGCCAGGTCCTCTTGGGAGGTGGCATCATCCGGCTTCTCTGAGAGCGTAAACGCCTCAAGGGAGGCAAGGTTTCTTGTGAGGTCCTTGCGGCGTGAGAAGTAGTTTCGCATTTCTTGTTCAAAACGCTGTGCGAATTGTGGCTCTAGTGGTGTGAGTAGTTCTCCGGTCCCTTCCTCATCTGCTTTTCCTGAGTATTGTTTCTCGATTTTCTTGCGCTTAGATAGCCCAAGTGCCAGCAAGACATATTGTAATCCAACTGTCGCCAACCTGGAAGAGTCCAAGAGGCGGTCTTGAAGCGTTTGGGCTACCTTTTTCATCTCGGATTGTTTCACAGAATCCTCCTCGGCGTCGAGCGATCTCAAACTGCTGTTGCGCGTTCCTTCGTTTCTGACAATCATGTCCAAAACCTCAGGTAGCATAGCCATTCCTGAAAGGGGCAGCAAAATACCCCGTAGCAACCCTCCAATACTACTCAGGTCGCCTGCTGACAGTTTTCCCCATGCGATTTCGTCTTTCGAATAGAGCAGGTCTGATTGTAGCTTCCCGTGTAACCCGTTCAATTTTGTGATCGATGCTGTCAAGCGCTTCTGCTTCGCTTCCAGATCCAAACTGGGACTGCTCTGCATGTCTCGCATACTTCGTGCTGTGCGCGTCCTCTTCAGAAGCCCTTGACTTCCGGTCCATACCTCTGACGTCCCCTTGACAAAGTCGATCTGGGACTGGAGTACGTTATCGATCTGCGCGACGTAACCCCTGATATCGTCGAAGACATGTCCGCGGCTAGTGATTGGTAGTATAAGGAGAGAGACCCCGGTGGCAATGGCAAACCCCAGCATAAACCCCTTTAACAGTCTAGAAACGAATGAAAGACCCTCGGATAGTGTGGTGAACATGCCACCGCGAGTAATAGTAACAGAGGAAAAGATCGAGAAAGCTACCATAGGATCCTGCAGCTCCTGCGGGCGCCAAGCACGGATAGTATTTGCGGCCCTGCATAGGTTTAGTGAAACTGAAAGCGCTATCAAAGTGGCAATTGGACATACCAAATCATGAATATCAGCCATATAGCAGACACGGCACAGGCATCGCTGCTGAAACCATTCCGGACGGCCTCGCTAGCATCTGGAGGGGTGTTATGTTGTCTCGCTCGTACGGCACAAAATATCGCTAAGCAACAGAGAGAAGCTGATACACATGTTGACAAGAGATCAAAGAACATGATCCGCATGAACTTGGCCCGCGGCGTCAGTGCTTGGGACAGGACGGAAATAAGAGCTGATAGATATCCGATTGTGAGGGTGATGTCGGATATAGCACTACTCTGGTAACTGCTAGATATCAGCTACACTTATTCGAGAGATTGATACGTAATATGACCTACATCGCTATCACAATTGTCGGTGGCAAAGCGCCCTTCAGCATGATAAGGAAGGACCGAGTGTCCAAATCGAGCCGCTGTCTCCATGTCAAGGGATTCAAAATACTGTTTGAAACTTTAGTTCATCCCGGCTGCAAAGATACTGCGACAGTTGCCTACCTCAGCAACCTGGCCATTCTAACCCCGCCAGCGCTCCTTGGGGGAGCCATTGTGCATTGACTGCTGTATCCGTACAGCTAAGGTTACGGGAAGCAGGATACTGCGTATGTTCGCATCTAGACTGATGGATTAAAGACTGTAGTTTTAGGAGAAGAAGAAATTTCTATCTTCTGATTCTCTTAGCTCGCCGAAAGATCATCGATCGAGCCGGGCTGAGTGACGGCCGCATCCGGGTCGGGTTGCCGTGCCTGGATCTCGTGACGCGTGCCGAGCCAAATGCCGATAGAAGAAGGTTTCTTCTTACGGGGCATCCGTAGCATTATCGGCTGGGGATTTCGGCCATCAGATAGCTCTTGATTGAGATGTAGGGCTGACATGGTTAGAGGAATAGCAGGCGCGATTTCTTTGTGGGCTTCCGTAGCTGGTCAGATTGGCTGATTGGCAGTATCAGGGTGATGCCAAGATACGTTGTATGCGTAGGAGTTAACTGTTGAGGATCTTGTCTTATGGGCGAGCAGCAACCTTGCGGATGAACAATATCATTCTCATCTTATCGGGATCTGGGTCCGAGAAGTAAGATAAGGTCACTAGCATATTTTATTGGTCTTGATAGTAACTCCCCGACGAGCCAGTATGAAGTAGAGGAGAGAATATGAAGCGGACGATAATGCGAGCGGATGAAACCTTTGCCGTCACCCCCTTCCGCATCCAATCACGTGACTTATACACTGGCTGTCGCTGCATGCTTTCGGGGAGAATTAATGATGCTTTGGCCATAGGATGACTCGTGTTCTACGATCGAGCCAATTTGCAATGAATGGAACAGGTGCTCGAATGGTTGGATGACATTACTCCAGCGCGACATGACGACGAGTGGACGGACACATCACACCTGTAAAGGTACCAGCGTACGCTAGGACATCACCCCGCATATGTACTCTAGTCGTGGTTACTATTCTTCGTGCTTCTACCCACTGGCCAAGACGGTCAGATGCACTGACATCCGGACATGCATCTTCCAAATCGGACGCTGTTGCGGGGTTATGAGGCGCGCTGGGCCGTCATGATCTCATCGTATCCAGAATATCCAGATATACTTTGTTGAGAAACAATGAAGAAGACCAGAGTTGTCTGGTTCTCATTCCAATTACAGATGCCAAGCCGGAAACGCAATAAGCGACAATGATGTGAAACGATAATGATAGGATGGAATCTGTCCGAAGGCACCGTCAATATGAAATCAATGCGTCGACGGCAGTTCCATCACAACGGTCCACGGCACAGCCATAACTTCTCGCTCAGCCACACTGCTGCGGAGACGGTTGGGGATGACGAGTCCATGGTCTAGATCGTGAGTCAGCGGATTTTAAGGAACAGCGCTGAATGGCCAAGGTAGACGTATGAGAGAGATAGTGAAAGTACGAGACCTGTCAACATTCCGGAGAGATTCTGACGCTGACGAAAGCTCATTGAGCCTTTGCAAAGGAGCTCATGTGACGCGTTACCCAAAGCTGTTGGCTCCCCTGTAAAGTACGGGTATGGGAAACCGGAATCCGGAGAAATGCTACCGAAACGAGGCTGACTCCTGACGTAGTGCCGACCAATCAAGAACGAGCCACTAGTGGGCTTCGGGGCAGGCGCAGGAAATCAGCAGGTCTGATTGGAGGGACTCTCGGGGAGAAGATTTGGGGGGAGAGTTTCATTTGTTGAGAAAGACAGGTGGACTTGGCAAATCGCTTCCAAGCCAGCCCGTTCTGGCCTCAATTCTCGGTCGGGGTTATGGAATTCACAACTTTCAGTCATCGTTCTGTGTGTCTGTGTTCTGTTCTATCCGTTGCGTAACAGGGTATCTTACCCCCTTACCTCTGCAAGCCACGACACCCTGAAATAGAAGCTACGAAATCGAATAATCAAAATAGTTTCATAATTAACTGCTGTTGACTCCTTTCAACCCTAGTTTCGCTGGCCCCACTGTTGATGTCGTAGGTGTGCATCTCATAGACGGATTCTGGAAAAGGTGAGATGGATTGAGATTTGCCCCTATGGATCCGCGGCCCAGGGGTGGAGACCTCCATCCCATCGAGCGGCCCAAAAAAAAAAAATAGTAGCTATCTGATTCATCATTAGTATTCGACTTTTTGATTCTCTGTCGACTGACAAACGGAGAAGTCCCGCCCGTGATCGCTGACATCTCCGAGTCCGAAATTGAAAAATAGCCGATGACACCATTGGAACCCAGTTCTCCGAGCTCTGGTCGGAAATAGCACAAGAGGAGATAACCTCAGCAGTACTTGTTGGGGTACGGAGTAGTCTGCGTAGGTATCGGAAAGTGATGTGATAGGATGTTAGAGCAACTGTTGGCTACGATTGATAAGGTGCAAGGTGGAGACCAGCTGCGTGTCGAGGCGACGGCAATTCACTGCGACTCGACTGCTGCGAAACGGGGCGGACCATGGCTCCAGTTCAGAATAAGGTCAGGATCAGGATGATCATCCTGCTGTCTTGGCAGGCATCATTGGTCCTGCTTCCATGCCACAAGGGCTCCCCCCCCGTCCCAGAAAGGTTGACTTCTCCATTCCCTTATAATAGTCCGGTCGCGCAGGTTACTTTCAGAGACCCTCTCTTCCTATCTATATTCTCCTTCCTGAAGCTTGGCTTGCTTCTTCAGTTCCTGTGTTTGACACAGCTTCCTCTTACCAGTTTATCACACACGTCTTATCGAGGGCCCCTCTTGCCTTCTTCATCTGATCCTTTCCGTTCCTGGCTCTGAAATACATGCGTGAGTGCCTCTCCCTATCTGCCTCCTATCGCCATCCCTTCCCTGGCCCACTAGAGGCCCTCGACGATTTCATTTGACATCTCATCGATGATTGTATCGATCTTGACCCCCCTGGCTAACATTCTATCTCTTTGCTATGCAGACCGGATTCACTCGTGGGCGAAAGCTCACGCGTCTACCCCGAATAATTCCCAGGGTCAAAACCAGTCCAACACCCAGTCCTCTGAGGACGCTTCGGCTCAAGATGCTCAAGTGAAAGAAGGTATACGTGACCCGGCCAGCCCGGAGTCGGAAAAAGATGCCAATCAAACCACTGAGCGCCCACTGTTCGTCCGAATGAAGGATGGAATTGTTCGCTTCGCCGGACACACTAAACGCGCCCTGTGCCACAGCTGGGTCAATGTGCTGCTCGTCTTCGTCCCTATCGGCATTGCAGTCGAGGCCGCTGGACTCAATTCAGGCCTGGTCTTTGCCATGAATGCGATAGCTATCATCCCCTTGGCCGGTCTGCTCAGCCATGCCACCGAGTGTGTCGCCAGTCGATTGGGTGACACCGTAGGTGCGCTCATCAACGTCACCTTTGGAAATGCAGTAGAGTTGATCATCTTGTATGTTCTTGAATCCACCCATTTACCCCTGACTGTTGCTAACGTTTCGGTAGCATGTAAGTTGTTGCTTATAAGAGCACGTGCACACACAAATACTAATCACAGCGAATTCGTTCAGTATTGCTCTAGTCAAGGTGAGTCAACTGGTTCTGCAACAGAATCAAGGATCGCTCTAACTTTGTCCAGGATGAGATTCGGATCGTCCAAGCATCCCTGCTGGGATCCATCTTAGCAAACCTACTGCTGATCTTGGGTATGGCCTTTCTGTTGGGAGGCTTGCGCTTCCAGGAACAGGTAAATCTACCAGCAACCTGAGCTGTACGCGTTTGCCAAACTAACATGTGCCAGATCTATAATAGCACTGTCACGCAAATGAGTGCATGTCTCCTCAGTTTGAGTGTCATGAGTTTGCTCTTGCCGGTATGTCTGCGCATCCCAGTTTACCCTATACTTGCTAACGTATCCAGACGGCATTCCATGCTTCCTGGTCGGACGCCGGAGATGCAGATAAATACACACTCAAAGTTAGCCGTGGAACAAGTGTTGTAAGTAGTATCAACTGCCAATCATGTCATACCTTTCTAAATTTTTCGATCAGGTCTTGCTCCTGGTGTACGTTTTGTACATCATATTCCAACTCAAATCCCACGCCTATCTTTACGCCAGTATCCCACAACAGATCATTGATGAGGAATCTCACCCCGGTGTTCTGGCTGAATTCATGAATAGTTCGTCAGACTCGAGCAGTTCATCGGATGAGTCTGTGGATACGACAACCTCCTGGTCCACCGCCAAGCGTATAAAGAGGGCCATGAAACATAGGCGTCATCGCAAGTCGAGCACCAGCTCGCATGGTACGGTCTCTCCACAGTCATTCCGTAAGAAGTCCTCGGCCGACATTCCTCCTGCAGCCGTTATAGATGAGCATGCTGGTTCTGCGGGTGACCTGAGTGTTACTCAAGCCGACGGGTCTGGCTCGTTTGTTATCGATTTTGGAGATGACAGCCGATACGATGCCGATCATGAACCTCAGACCCGGGACTTCGGACAACCACAGGACAAAGCCTCCAAGGAGGATCGAAAGGCCAAAAGGCGTGAGCGACGAAAGCAGCGTCGTGCCGAAAAGGACAATACCGCTACATCTGTGAAGGGCACAACTGTGACCGGCCGCCCATCCATGAAGACATCCAAGACAGAACCAGCCTTGGATCATCCTCAGCCTACGGTGGAGGTTGGAGAAGCAACCGAACCTGCCAAAAGGCGATCGCCCTTCCGTCCAACCATTCCATCTCTATTAAGCAACACTGTTTTTTCGAGCAACTTGGCCGCTCCTAACTCGACGGTGCCCGCAAGTCCTTCAAATCCCTATGGCCTTCGACGAACGCATTCTCTACCCTCTTTCACCAACCGCCCTCCACCACCGGGAAATGCCGTTCAGTTTGCCCGGGGTGCTTCTCGCATGCCCACGACCGTGACCAACAACCCAACTGAAGCGGTCCCCCAGCAGCCGGAACCTGAAATGTCTCGCACCGCAGCGGTGGTGATGCTTCTGGTGTCGACCGGTCTTGTCGCAGTGTGTGCGGAGTTCCTCGTCGACGCTATCCCCACCATGATCGAGAGCTCGTCTGTCAGTGAAGCCTTTATCGGTCTGATCATCCTCCCTATCGTTGGCAACGCCGCTGAGCACGTGACCGCCGTCAGTGTGGCCACCAAGAATAAGATGGACCTGGCAATCGGTGTATCAGTAGGAAGTAGTATCCAAATCGGTATGTTTTTATTGTTTCTTGTCTGATAATAGAGGCTCATTCGTCACAGCTATTTTTGTTACGCCACTGGTGGTCATCCTGGGTTGGTGTATGGACAAGGACATGTCCTTGTACTTCACGCTATTCGAGACCATCTGTCTGTTTGTCACGGCCTTTGTTGTCAACTTCCTGGTCTTGGATGGCCGAAGCAACTATTTGGAAGGGTCTTTGCTCATTGCAGCCTATGTGATCATAGGGTAAGTTGAATTCTCTCTAGGGTCGCGTTTATTCAGTGGCTAACGAGCTTCAAGTGTTGGTGCGTTTTATTATCCTGGTAGTGGACAGTCCAGCGATCTTGGCACTGCTGGAGGATAAGCGGCTGGCAGGGGTTCATTAAGACCTATGTCATAGCACCGGCTGTTTTGATACCCGACTGCACAGTGTGTAGAGGGGGGTTAGTGAGCTACGGAGGTGGGTTCGGAGACATGGAAAGAAGACGGAGGGTTTAAGTTAGATGGTGGGCGAGAGGAGGATGGTTACATTAAACGAGATTGCCAATAATGCTGCCTGGTTTAGTCTAGACAATTCAGAATGCAAACTACCACTTCTCGGAACTGTTCTTTCTTATGGATTGCGGGATTTTCTGCAGCAATAGTACGACCGTTTGATACCCTTAAATCCCGCTCCGATGCAACAATATCTAACACATCGCCTGCCAAGCCGAGTAGATATCCTGGCGCAGGAGTAGTACCTATTCCGCGCATCATCCTCTCGACGTGGCGCAGGATCTAACTGTAGGCAACGAGGCACTGATTTTTTTCTTCTCATGTAATCCGTCAGTAAGTACGCTCTTGGCACAGTTTTGTCAAGACAGGTCCGACAACGATGACTGCATCTGGAATGCACAGCGACAGATGTGGCTGAGCCTGTCATTATTACGGTGTACCACTAAGTCTAACAGTGGATGTACAGCCACTCGGTAAGACACACGTGGCTGCTTCGGTCAGGGGCTATCGGAGGGGCTAGTCTTGGCGTAATCAATGGACGTTCCAGATACAGCGGCTACTACAGTACTAGTTTGCTTTTGCGCCGTTGCTGCACTTCGCTTAGGGAGGCTCGCTTGGAGGCAAATATTCTCTTCTTTAGCATGATGCAGTTATCCAATATGAAATCTCACTTTAAGGTGGCTATGCTCAACCGGTTGAACCACCGGATGATACGGAGTGGGGTTGAGACTGTGGCTGAAAAAGGGATATTATGTATTCCGATTGGCTGGGAAGACCAGTTCCACAGTACCAGCCCTGTGTGGTGCCAAGCAACCGAAAAGGGGAGGGTCGGAGGAACAAGTCAGACGGAGAATTATTCTTAGCATTGATTCGATTTGGTTGGTTTCATTTCATGAGTGACTGACTGCATTGCATGGCTAAGAGCGAACTATTAGTTAAGTTTGCTAGGCATCAACGCCCCTCCTTTTGACGCATCTTGCTGCCTCTCTGCAGCTGGTTACTTGCCATTGTACAATCATCATCATCATGCCTTCACCAGGGTACACCCGTCCAGCCACTCTGTCCAGTCCATCTTTCGGTATTTGTGAATAGAAAATGCGATTCCTTCTAGACTACCGGTTGATCCCGGGATCCACCACCCTTCAGGGGCCATGATACCGTCCATTGTTTACGTCTCTGCCTAATCCCGTTCTGCGTCTCCAGACTGCCAGATCTACAGCCTCCCAGTCACCACTCATCCACCGGACTATTGACGCTTCCCCATCCCAGCTAATAACCCAGTGGGGAACCCTTCTCCTTACTCTTAGCGCCTGTCTGGGTCCCGATGGGCTGAGTGCGAATCCCTGGGAGCCGTTAATCCCGGCCTAACTGTTACTTACGCGCCAGTGGCAGGGTGAAGTCGAAGAGGGGCCACCCCCAATGCTGCATCCGTGTCCAAAGTCCAAACTTCCCCCCTCCACCTGACAGGGTCTCCGGAGCCGCTTTGAATATTTAAGGGTCTTTCATCCTTCCCTTATTCTTTTCTTCCCTCTCATCCTTTTTACTTTTCTCTCCTAACTTCCTAATCCTTCCATAACCACCATGTCTTACTACCCCCCACCACAAGAACCCTACTACGGCGGACGCCCTCCATACGAGCGTCCGCCATACGACCGTCCTCCCTACGAGGGCGGTCCTCCCCCGGAGCGGCCCCCCTATGACCGTCCCCGTTACGAGGGTTCTCCTTACGACCGCCCTTCCTATGAGCGTCCCCCTCCAGAGAGATACAACTCCGGTCCTCCCCCGCCGGAGCGCCCTCCCTACGACCGTCCCCCATACGGTGACCGGCCTCCCTACGAAGGTGGCGAGCGCGGCTTCGACTCTCCTGCTCCCCGTCCTCCCTACTCCAGCCCTCCTCCTTCCGCTCGTCCTCCTCCCGTCCCTCCCCCTCCTCTTCCCATGGAATGGGCCCAGGAGTGGGAGCCCAGCCTCCGCCGCGCCTACTACGTCCACATGCCTTCCGGCCGCACAGAATGGGAGCTTCCCGCTGACATGTCCCGCGACATGCCTCCCCCTGGTCCTCCCCCGGCCGGTGGTCCGGGCTACTACGCAAGCCCCCCTCCGCCGCAGGAGGGGGGGTACTACCCCGACCCCCAGGCCCAGCAGATCTCCGAGGAGGAGCAGAAGAAGAAGGACCGTAAGAACATGCTTATGGGTGGCGCAGCTGGTCTGGCTGTTGGTGCTCTCGGTGCTGCATTCATTTCCCACGAGATTCGTACGTCCCCGATTTCGTCCCCCAAGACCACATCCATGGTCCTGGTATAACTGTATACTAACGAGAACAACAGACGAGCACGAGGAAGAAGAGGAAGAAGAGGAGCGTGAACAGCCACCTGTCATCTATGAGCGCGAAACTATCATCGAGCGTGGAGAGCAGCCTGCATATGATTACGAGGAGGATGGATGGTAGATGCGGCATACCTGTTTCTGCTTGTTAATAACTAAATTCTATTCGCATAGCTTTCGGGATTGTTTAGCTGTATTTATTATGCATTTAACTCATACCTTGTTCAAGGAATTTAATTGACACAAAAAGTTGTCTGGGGCGTAGTTGTGTCTTGACATGATGATCAATTTGTAGTTGGAGATGTATGTCGCCTCGGCGGTCAGTTTCTCGCTCTACTAATAACTTACAATACTTTCTGTCGATATGATATTATCTTAGTATCTCTGGTACTTATTACAACGCATTTATGATAAGAGTATGCCCCAAGCAACGAACAATGAACTGTGTTGAGTGAATACAAAAAACTAAGTATTATAGTAGCTGCTAGTAGTAATATTGTTATTGTTCGACGTATACGAACCCTCCAACTCCTCATCACATCTATATACACTGTACCAAATCTCCCCCCCCTCCCCCCCCACCAAACAGTAATACAACAAATCCTACGAATTTACCCCTACTTCCAAGCAACAATCTCCCCATGCAACAACCCAAACCACGCCCTCTCACACTCCACAAACTCCTCCCACCCCCTCACAACCGCCTCCAACTGCTCTTTACTCGCAAACCCCCCCTCCAGCGCCTGCGTCGCAAACCCCGAATTCGCCGCCCTACCGGCCATCGAACCCCCCCAATACCTCCGTTCCTCCGAACTACTAAAGCACCACGACCCTGCCGTCTTTTTAATCCTCTCCTGTACAAACCCCGCCTCTTCCGCCCACACATGAATTCTCGATCCGGGGTGCGGATTCCCACCCTTCTCTCTGGCCATCTTCGTCGTGATATCCAACCACAGCTCAATCCCCTTATTCTCAGGATACCACGTCATGGCGCTGGATTCGCGGGCCGCGATAATCCCCCCGTTGGGTTTAGCCACGCGGCGCATTTCGCGCAGCGCGAGCACGGGGTCCGCGATGTGTTGGAGCACTTGGTGCACGTGCACTAGGTCGAAGGTGTTGTCCGGGAACGGGAGGGCGTGGATGTCCGCTACTTGGAAGGTGATGTTTGTGATGCCTTGCGAGGAGGCGAGCGTGCGTGCTTGCTCCAGTGGGTCGGGGACATATTCGACGCCCGTTACGTGGCCTGAGGGCACGTGTCGCGCGAAGTCGATCGTGATGCTACCGGGGCCGCAGCCGATATCGAGGATGGTCATGTTGGGTTTGAGGTAGGGGAGGATGTAGGGGACGGAGTTGCTGAGGGTGCGCCAGCCGTGGGTTTGGAGAACCGCGGGGGCGTGGTCGGTTGTGTAGGTTGTCATTGTTAGTTGGATATATGTATGTGGTATTGTTCTGAGAGATTGAGGAATGTGTAGTTGTTTCTTTGTGTTCTTTATGAGTTCAAGTTGAATGGCAATTGCTGGTGCCCATGGGGAAATTTATATGGACGAGTCCCCACCTATGCTGTCATCCCCGCTCTGTAGGTCGGAGTTCCGAAGTTGAACTCCGGGGTGGTGTATAGGCTCATCGTCGGTGGGTGAGTTGCTTTGTTGAAGTCACAGTGGGATTTTGAGTTGGCACAATCTTGGTAGGTCTTCTTGTTTGGAGGGGGCTGTTTCGCCTGTTTGGGTTGGGAGGATCGTATAGTTGGTGGGGAGTTTGGGTGTTTTGAGGAGCGACGGAATTCCGAATGGTGGGGTGACTTGAGATCCGAGGTGTAAACTGAGGTACACCGCCTTCACCCGTCATGCTTTGATTTGAGGATGAGGATGGGTATTGTGAGCTGATGTATTTATTTTACTTACAAGTTCAGGTGCAATTTTTATGCTGCTCATTTTAGGAACAATCGGTGTGGTCTACTCTAAGTGAGATGTTGACGGGACCGTTGGTATATAGTTCGACTCACTCAAACTATTATATATAGTAAGGAGAAAGATCTCGGTAATGACAATTTATTTCGTTTTTACACTGTTGTGCACATACTCACTTATTATTGGGTAGGAAGAGACGAGAAGAGTTAAGTGCTATAGGGGCAGGGGAGCTGGATAGAGGGTGAGCTACGCAGACAAGTCCAGACCATGAGAGTTAAGACTATGCTAACTGTGATAAGGTTGACACTAGTGTGGGTACAAAAGAATATTGGATAGGCTGATTGTTACTACGGGATCGTACCCCTGTCGGGATGAAGTGACTAGTACTACTTGTGAGAAAGCCTTACTGGTGATACTATGTCACAGTAACATTGCCACTGACTTCGTTAAATTATGCAGTTGTCAGGGGCTGAGATTTGCTTAATATATCTGATTCACATAGTCTTGAATACTGACCCTGACTGTCAGTTCCGAACCAATGAAGGCATCGCAGCTTCAACTGCACTTGGGTCTAATAGTAGTATTTATATGAAATAACCAATTATTAAGAAAATGATTTCTGTAGTTAAGAAAAATAGGATTAACATAAGAAGGTAGAATCTCTCATGGTGTATATCATGCCACATAATAATCCATGATATATAAACAACGTTGCCAAACCCGGTGGTATCATGTCGTAAACTCCGTATTCCATATATTATATTATACTAAAGCATGATCAGCATCAGTAATCTCAAGACTATTGCAGCATACATACCAAGCGTCTGCTTTTAAAAACAGATACTAACGATCATGCGACGACGGCTTCTGAAGACGAGGATAGTAGAACAGGAAGAATACCACGACAGCTAGTAAGACCACGAGCGTCGGAAGGAACATAAACAGAAAGAGGAATAGACTCAGGCCTAAAGCGGCGCTATGTCCTGGGAAGAAACGACGAGCCATGAGATCAACAGTCGAAGCAAGCATCGATTCCATGGGATAGAAAGGGTGATGTTTCACGCTAGTTGTCGAAGATCCGTCTAGTAAGGACTAGTGGACAAAGAAACAGGACGACCAGGGTCTTTGGATGTGATATTTATATCGTAGGTTTAATGAAGTGGCAGATAGAGGCTGGATCTTGGCCGGAGCTCACGGAATGATGAGTGATGCTGCAGTGAAGCTGGCTGGAGTGGAGCGCGCTGCGCAGTGGGCAGGCCCGTTATCTGTGACTTTATTATTGCGGGGACCTAGCTAGATCACGCGAGTCGGTTTTGCGGCTGTAGTCTAGATGGGTTGACTCGTAACTGCCAGACAGAGACTGGGGCCTAGGAGGTTGACGGGGGAGATTCGAGCCATTTGAAGTTCTGCCAATAGCTCGGTGCCTGGTCCATGAGGTTGCTTTTGGCGTCTGGAAAAGGCAAACTTGAGGTACCAGCACGGTAAGTTACATGGTAAGCTGTTGGTTGGTAACCGTCCCGTTCATTACCAGCCAAAAATGGATGCCTGCAGGGATTTGCTTCATTATTGGGCGCAGTGGAGTTCCATCATTGGCTGATGTCTTAGCGCCCCGCTGAGAGCCCACATCGACCATTCCGCTTTCAGCCGAGTCGCTGCTAAAATTGAACGGGCATTCGAAGACCAATCATTACCGGGTGACGCAAGAAGCAAGGATTGTCTGGGTCAGGCAGCAGTATTTCATGTACGGTGCGCAGGTTGCTTGAGATGCTTACAATAGCATGCTTATAATCTCTAGAGGAAACTAGATTAATTCAAGTAAGTAATATGCGAGGAAATGATCGCGCCCATGGCTGATTTTAAGTATTTCAATAAGCATCGCAGTTTAATTAAAGCCCCTCGTTCTTCCCCTGTCTTGGACGCGGGGGAGTTCGTCAGAATTCCAGCACCGAACCACGGATATAACTTCGGTAATACAGGTATCAACTGTTAAAGATTTCAAAGAGAACAGACTGTGTAACAGCTGGATTGCTAATACGGCTAGAGCCACCGCAGCGAACCAATGGTCGTGTCGCCCTGTAGGGCTGAGGCGGACTTGGCACGGCCCTCGGGTAAATCAAAGGCAAGCTGGCCAGTCGAAGGGATGGAGCATCGTGAATTTCGTTGTATTATGAGTACGCTGAACAACTGATATCATCCCGCCTGGATGGAGACATAACTAATTAATATCCATTATTAATCAGAATGCCGCTGTGGAAAATCTCACGCTACGCCGTAAAAGAAAATAGTTCTTCCCATCGCAATCAATCAGGCGAGCGTCATCCGTTCTATCCCTTGCAATCCTTCTCTTTTCCTTCCTTTTTCCTCCCCCTTCTCTTCAGTTCCCCATCGGCTTTCCCCTCCCTTCCCCATCCCACCGAGCTCGGATGCATCCGTGAGTCCCCGCGGAGATGAGGCTATCTCGTTCGTTATCAATCGCTTAAGTCTGATCTGGTATTCTTTACTTTTGGTTTTCCCCTTTCACCCCCTTCTGTGAACTTTCCCGTCCTTCCTTTCGTCAGTTGATCCAGGATGGGTCTCTTTGCTGGACACGGGGCCCTCGACCAGGCCGAACTGGATAATTTCGGCGTCGATTGGGTCATCCACTATTCGTTCGAGGATGTCGGTAAGCAATCATTCCCCCCGATTCCATCCGGCTGACGCCCGATCTCACACCGTCTTCTTCCCATCCAGAGCTCTCCCAGGCGATCCAAGAGTTTCGAACTTTAATCCACGACCTTCAAGAAGCGCATCTCCAGGTACAAGTCCGTCATGGCTACGGCGCCTCCCTACTCGTCTGCATTCGGGTTCCGCCTGATTTGTTGGGAAACCTGGTACACAAATCTCGGTACGGCTGATCGGTAACAACAAATGGCGCATGGTCGGGAAAGCTAACGGCGTGTAGAGTCAAGGACTGGCTTCATGGAATCATCCACGAATTTCCTGAGGGCGGAGACGAGGGCGAGACTGACGCCGACACTCCTGCGGAGGCCCTCAGATCTGTTTACCATGCGGTGACATGGCAGAAGCATCTTGGAGGCGCTGGAATTACCCCCAAGGTGGGCCAATGGAAGAATATCACGGCAGCTATCCCTCTGCATGACCGCTCCGCCAACGCGGAGCTGCTCCGAAAATGGAGCCGGACTATTTTCTTGACGGCTGAGGATCTTGATGCTATTCGCGCATTGTTTGGCGAGAAGGTAAGCGCATCAGAAAACTTCTTTGGGGATTCCCTGGCTCTGTAGGAATCTAACATGTCCAGGTTGCCTTCTACTTTGCTTTTATCCACTGCTATTCCTGTTTCCTGGTTTTCCCGGCCGTCTGGGGCGTCTTTTCTTGGTTTTACCTAGGCCCCTATTCGATTACGTGTGCGGTGGTGACCTGTATCTGGGGTATCGTGTTTGTCGAGTACTGGAAAACCCGCGAGCTCGACCTGAGCTTGCGCTGGAACGTCAAGGACGTAGGATTCCTCAAAGTGAACCGACCAGAATGGGTCTGGGACAAAGAATTTCAGAATCCGCACACCGGCGAGACCATTCGCGTGTTTTCGGCTCATAGGCAATTCGTTCGACAGCTCCTGATGATTCCCTTTGCGACTGTTGCAAGCTTGGCATTGGGTAGCTTGATCATCCTATCATTTGCTCTGGAAATCTTGGTGTCAGAAGTGTACAATGGCCCAATGAAGGCATACTTGGAGTTTCTGCCGACCGTTCTGTTTTCGCTCTCCTTGCCCTCCATCACCAATATTCTGACGGAGTTTGCGAAGCGATTGACCGACTACGAGAACTACCGCACGCAGGATCAATACGACCTGGCACAGACAGCCAAGACATTCGTGATGCACTTTATTACGGCCTTTTTGCCCACGCTACTGACCGCATTCGTATACGTCCCGTTTGGAAGCAAGATTGTGCCCTATCTTGACACTCTTCGCTCTTACGGTCTCCTTTCCGCCAACATTGCCCGTGAAATCCACATTGACACCTCCCGACTGCAACAGGAAGTGATCTATCTCTCTGCGACCGCTCAGATCCTCAACTTCGGCGAGGAAATTGTGCTTCCCTATGTCAAGCAAACCCTGATGCACAAGTGGCGTGACTGGCGCGAAGGTCGGGACTCTTCGCGTCCTCGTGGCTACTCTCAGAGGACCGATCAACTCCTAGTCGATGCTCCGGAAGAAGCAGGTTTCCTCTCGCGTGTCCGTGACGAAATCGAAGCGGATGAGTACGATGTTCATGAAGATATTCTGGAGATGTGCGTGCAGTTTGGCTCTCTCGCTCTCTTTGGGGTTGCATGGCCCTTGGTCTCCCTGGGTTTCCTCGCCAACAACTGGCTGGAACTGCGAGGCGATTTCTTCAAATTGAGCTTGGAGTGTCAAAGACCTCCCCCCATCCGAGCTGACTCGATCGGACCATCTCTCATGGGTCTGGAAGTGCTCAGCTGGCTCGGTACCTTGTCCACCGCCGCCATCGTGTACCTTTACCGCGCTGGACTCCAGGAGGTCAACATGTCGTCCCTCCTTCTCACTCTCCTCCTTGCCGAATGGGCCTACGTTGGTGTTCGCTTCATCGTGCGAAGCGGACTCGAAAGAATTAGCTTCGTCTCCCTCCGTCGCGAGGAATCGAAGCGCTACGCTATGCGCAAACGGTTCTTGGAAGCCACGTCGGGCCGGGTATCCCCTCGGGCTAAACCGCGAGTCCGGTTCCAGGACCGGGTCAGTGTTTTCTCCTCGTCCACTGATGTCCCTGGTACTAAGGAAGACTTCCTGCACCCCGGACATCATCATGAAATGGGCCGCGGTGGACGCTTCTGGTCGTGGGCTCCCAATGAGACAGCGGACGCAGGCGTTCGGCTGATCAAGGCCCTGAACAGTAATATGGACGGTTCGAAGACCGGGCCTGTTAAGGGCGCCAAGGGCGCCTGATCTGCTCAATATTCCAGTCACTCATTAGTATAGATTTGTCACTCATTAATTTGATGCTTTCTGATTCAGTAACCGTCGCAGGTAGACGGTTAGAATGAGCCTGCGGGACGGAAGGATGTGGTCTGTACGTGATGGATCACTAGCTGTCTTAGAACGTTGTTTCCTTTTTTGTTATCTTTATGTGTTTGTTCCCTTGTTTCTTCACTTTTGATTCTGTATGTATACATTAGACTAGTAATAATTGATGATGATTCGAAGATTCTCTTGTATATATTTCATGAAGTATGCACATATAGGTTTCTACCTACGTAGCCATTCTGGTTCATGTCAGACAGTAATCCGTAGACCGTAGTGGCATGATGGCTTTCTGCCATCAGGAAAGCCTTATTTGTTCAAGAAAGGTGGGTGGGGGCTTGTGGGTTTGGCTTACGAGTAGTCCAAGGTTCCTCTTGGAGATATTTTATTTTACCTGTAGGCATACAATGAAGCAACGATGTCTAGTAAATTTGAGAGACTTTTTAAAAAGTTAATGTCTATCTAAGGCTGTCAAGAAAGGGGACTATTGTCAATATATATCTTCAAAGACCATATCATGAATAAGTCCTAGTAGCTGGGAGTCACGCGTTTAAGCGGCTGCATTAGATTGAGTAAATATACTCTCAGCTTCAGAGCTGAATAATTTTGCTTTCCATCTAAGATATCTTCTAGAGGATGTTCTTCATGAACGCATGACTCCGTAGATCATTTGGCAGCACTATGCAACTCTCTAGCAATCCCACCAACAACACCCTCAAACATCTCCGACTCTGCAAGGCCTTTCTGCCACATAATCCCCAGAACCAAACAGCCATCTCCCCCAGTGATCCAAGACACGGCTCAAGGTGCAGCCAGCCCATCAAACGGCTGAGTGAACATCACCCGTCTAATCTGCGGCCACGAATCTCCTTCCGGGACTGATTTCACAGCTCCCAAATTCGATGCTTTGAAGCTTCCATTTCGGTCCTCGCCTATCTTACTCTGTTCATAACCCCAGCTATCCACATATCTGAGCAAACCCAAACTGCTATCCTTGCCTTCCCGTCCGAGCACCTGTTTGATAGTTGCGCAGGATTGCCTCGCGGCATCCCATGGAAAGCTCTCAGGAGGATACTGATCCATCTATTCCCGAATGAAGCTTTCCTTGAAATCCATGGCCCAGACACCCATGGACTGATCTGTGATTCCCCTTTCTGTCTTCAGCCACCGTCGGCATGACATGGCGCCGATAGCTTGTAGTCTGGTGCACTCCTCTGGCAGATGCGCAAGGAGACTGCGTGCAACCGCTGTATGTATGGCCGAGGTTATAGTAGCCTGGTTCTGACGACATCGGTTTCTCAACGCTGTGGATACTGTTTCAGAGATAACAATTTGGCGGATCTCAATGTCGAATGGGGTAAACGACTTCGGACCTGTCCAAAGACCCGTATCACGATAGTGCCATATTTTAATCCGGAAAAGTTGCTTAAGGAAGGAAGTAAAGCCCATAGAGCACGGATGGACCGCTTTCAGGTTTGGCAGCATAGAAAGCTTAGGTGATGGGATCACCTGTCTTGTAGCCTCTCCCAAGGCTAGGGAAGTAGCAGCATCATGTAATGCCTCGAAGAATGTCTCGTGGAAGGCCTTTCCTGACATGCCATCCGCAATGACATGGTGGAATATATATATCGCTGTGAAGTGCTGCTCATTCGGCTCTGTTAAGATGATCTGGCAGTCTCCAGAATGGCAGGGGTGCTATGAACTCGGCTTTCTGATGGATCTGCAGTAGTTCACATAGTTCAGTGTCTGGCTTCTCTTAAGCAGTATAGTCGCGGGTACGCTTTTGGAAGGATATAGTCTGGCTGAGGTCGATTTCTGGGAGCCGGAAGAACCAGGTATCGTTGTCGTCTTTGACCGGGATTGCCGATAGGGCAGCATTTTTGCTGATCAATGTTCCAAGTGCTTTATATACATATACTTGGATGGGCAGGGTGAAAGCGTTTGGTAGGATATAGGTTGCCGATATTGCCACGTTGGCGCGTGCTCGGTCAGAGCACGTGCGAGGAAGAATTCCTCCTCTAGGGGCCCTGTTGGCTGTTCGTCAGATGATGTCCCTTAGTATGGCTTTTACTTTGTCTCACTAACCGGCTCGTCGTAGTCTCTCGAGCTTGTCCATTATTGAATAGTTACAAGGATGTTGTACAATCACATTATACGCGCGATGAGAGTGGGAGGAACATGATTTTTCTCTTTTGTTTTCTTCTTCGCAACTTATCGTATATATTACTAGTTAGGTTTTTGAGACAAAAACAAGCCTTCTTTCTATTGGAAGCTTGCTTATTGGAGACTTCGAGGGTTCAATAAACCGCCACTCTTTGTTCTTCATTGACTATTTGCTGTATCGGACGATCGCAGTTGCGACTACGTATCATCCCAGACAATGTGGAACCGCTCAAGATATCTTGTAGAAAAAGAAAAATTGGAAAGGAGATCAAGAATCAACAGAGACTGTATTCAGGCAACGGCTTACTCTAAGTCTGCTGCAGAGTACTATTTTCGTCATACCCCGGACGCAAAATTGCCCAGTTCAACTGAAGGCTGCTGGTTCGCTTAGGACAAGGGTTGCCAATGACTTCAGGCTTTTGGATATCTCATTATTCCTGCTAGAACAGCATGAAGTATCACAAGCGTGCTATAGTGGAGAGGTTGAATTATGTTGAGAGATCTGCCAACATGTTAAGCTTCTATAGTCGTAGTTGTGGTGGACGGACAACACCCGAAAACCAGGTAAAAAGCACTTCCACGATCAATATGATGTGGGTCCGACCATTGGATGTGTCTGATATGTCTCCAGGATTGATACGGGACATGGTGACAGCGGATGCTATGGATTGTGACAGCTTACAGTAGGCGCCGTTTAGAGTTTATCGTGTAAATCATTGCTTTAGGTATTGCATGCATCCGGATGATCATGTACTTATAAGTGCTTGATTGTTACATATTCCACATCTCATTATACAGCTATGCGACCAGAAATAGAAACTAAAATTGATGTGGTGTTTCATCCACCCGGTAAACCAACTTCTGACCTCGTACTTTGTTCTCGCGCAACATATCCAGTCCAGACAACACTCCCTTGAGCCCATATGGCTGCTTAGACACCGGATGGGTTTTGATTTTACCCTGGTCTAACAAGTCCTGAAACACTGACTGCCATACCAGGTGATGCTTCACATCAATTGGTTTGGCGGGCACCTTCTGGGGTCCCATCGTGTATGGCTCTCCTACGACGGTATACGCCATTGAGACAGTGGACCGGACATCTCGCCGAGGGCATCGTAGTTCCTGTAGTGTGTGATACCGGCCTCCAGCTTTACTGGTCAGAGCTTCTGCACAAAACTGAGCCGAGGTAGCCATTGCGACGGTGTCAAAGCACAGCTTCAAGTTATCCCTGGTATACCTCCGAATCTCGGCCGCCGCATTAGGCTTGCTATAGTCAAACACCGCATCCGCCCCGAGTTCCTTGACCATGTCAAAATTGCTGACCGAGCACGTCGTGATCACTTCCATTCCGGATAGCTTAGCACACTGAATAGCCAAGGTACCTGTCGCGGTCGATCCTCCATAAATCAAGACCGTCTTCGGTGTAGTAGCGCTCCGCGGCTTTCCAGGCATTGGAATTCCAAGATTCTGATATAGACTTTGGCCAACGGTCGTGTATCCGACCCCAACCGTACAAGCGTCCTCCCAGCTCATCCATCCTGGAATCTTGAGCTGCACATTTCCCTTGGCCATGACATATTGGCCAAACGCGCCATCTTCAGGCTCGACGGCGTTGCATCCGTGTGTGAGGCCCAGTACCCGATCTCCCTTCTGGAATCTCTCGGGCACTTTGGGACCGACCTCCTCGACGATGCCGGCAAAGTCACAGCCCACGGTACATCCATCACTAGGCACTAAGTCGATATGTTTCCAGTCTGTCGGGTTGAGAGCCACTGCATTATGGTGTGAGAAGAAGAAGCCGACAATGAGGGTCACTGAAGCAATGGAAAGAATAGGTGGATGATGTATTTACCTGTTACGGTTCTGACGAGCATGTAATCATCGCGCAGGCTGGGAATTGGTCGATCGGTCACCAATCTGGCCTGTTTCGGGCCTTGCGTTACCACTGCTAGGTGTGTGTTCAACTTTGCAACCATGATATATGTGGATGATAACGACGTTTTGCGCTAAATTGGTGGACTAAGAGATATCGGTCTTCGAGGACGGAATCGTTCCAAGCTTTAGGTAGAAAGAACCTTTTCAACAACTATAACTTCGGAGTAACGAGAAAAGAGTGAAATAATGCCGGCGATATAGATAAGCAACGTCAAAGGCCGGATTCAGCCCATGTGACAGATTCCAATAGTTACCCCAGAGGGGATGGTGTTAGCTGTCGAATCTTGCGGTGAGCTTTCTTGAACAGCTATCAACTGCAGGGTAAATGTTGGTGTGGTTGCAGAAGATTTCCCGCCATCACTGTCTTGTACAGTTGGAGTTGCCACTATTGGAATACTCATCACTACTTACAAGTGATACACCAAGCGGACGAGTTGACATCTGTCTATCCAGGAAGTTGCAACCCAGAAGATGTTCAAGCCATTTATATGCAGTTAGCAACATTAGATGCAATGAAGTATTCTTATTGCAGACACAATGCTGGCAAATATGACAGGTAACTGAGGGATTGCTGTTCTGGGACTTGTCTGAACATCCCGCAGCCTAGTGCTAACACTGACTTTGGTCAATTCCCATAAGTAAGCATACTTGAAAGAACATTAAAGAGAAAAAGAAAGTGAAGATCGATTGTAGTGGGTTTGATTTGCCTAGTCAATGTAGCAGTAACGATAGTAGTAATTGTGGATTTCTCTTCTCACATGAGGAGTGACAGCCCATGTCATACCTGAAAGCTTGAGTAGTAATGGTGCCCCTGTAATGCAGAGCCTTCCACCTAACAGCTATTAAATGTTGCTTTTATCAGAGAACGATATGACAGATATCCATCGAACCTGTCAGAGCCCGAGTAACTGAGTTCGGATAGCTTGCCCCAATCTGGAAGGTCAGTCTAACTCAGATTTGATGAAGGATCCCACCCGCCCATGGTGAAGCATGTGACTGGGCGGTAAACATGCCACTGCTACTTACTCATCTCTCTCCTTCTTTGTTCCTCTCTCATTCCTTCCGATTCCGACCATCTGATGAAATTATATTCGCGCATTTCCTGCTTCCTGCTTCCTGATCAGTTATGTATGATTTACTCCGGTAGCTTGGAAATCCACCTTTCCTCGGTTTATTTCTACTCTAAATGAGCTGCGCCGGTCCGAAGCGGTATTTAGAGTAGAGTCTTGTCGCCTGCATGCTGCATGGCGACGTGAGCCGAAACCCCGGAAGGCCTGCGGGGGATCGAGCACGAACAAGCAATATGCAGTCTCCAAGCTCCTAGTGTCACTTGCATTGAGATAATCCTGGGGTGCCCTTCTCGAGGCCTGGCCCCCTAACCCCGTCGATGGGTTCTGACTGGTTCAGTTCATCCGCCTGCATGGACTATAAGGAAGTAGTAAGTTCCCGCAATGCAATGTCAAACTTTCCTAAACTAACCTAGGTATATGGCTAGAAGCCTCTCTACTTAGTGTCTGTTACATTCATTGCTTTTTAGTTGGTAGTGAATGATTGTCCAAATGACCATACCTAGATCCACAACTCTATCGAACTCAGTACAGGCACAGCTTCCAGGCCGGGACAAGAATACCTCTCGACTAGATCCCCAAGTAGGATGCTTATGACATTGCAGACCGCAAACATCCAAGGCATGGCCGGAACCGGAATAGATGTTCTTCTGCGCACATTCTGAAAGGTTTGTATACAAGATCCACTGTCCTGATAGGTCCATAACTGTCGGGTGCTAGCGCGATACCTTGCAGGCTCGGTAGATATCCACTCTTCCGCTCGACGTAACTTTCAGACATTTCCCCCAGTATTTCTTCCCGACCAGAGCTGTTCCCCGAGCTTTAGCGGAGGTACTGTTGATCTTCGTATAATATCGCACATCAGCCATGTCATTGCTGAGACACCGCTCCCAAGGTACGGTGGGTGTAGCATTGACCTGATAGAGTGGCCAGCAGTTGAGATGTCATGTGAAAAACTGCGTCGGGTTAGAATGAGGATCCCCCATTCGAGAAGGGGGAGGAGTCAAAAAATAGTACGTATGCGTGCATGAGGTCTAAGAAGGGTAAAACAAAGATTAAAGTAGCTCACCAAAAGTCGCTGCAGGGTGAGAGACGTCACGTTGAGCAGCTACGGGCATCACTAGCCCAGAATAGTTACGCTGCCCAGAGATCTGTGCATCGCCCAGAACTTAAACATGTCTGGGCTCTCCTCAGAAGCATGGTAGTTAAGAGTCCAAACTTATAACCAGGGGTAGAGCTTCCGGTCTCCTCGAAATTGTCCATATAATTTGCATCCCATCTTCTACTTGACCTCCGGGCAGCCACAAGCCCATTGACCCAGAGCAGACTTTGCGAGTCACCATGGATAAAACCAAAGAGCCCATTGCCATTGTTGGTAGCGCCTGCCGGTTTCCCGGAGGCTGTGATACTCCCTCAAAGCTTTGGGAGATGCTGAAGCAACAGCGTAATATCTTGCAGAAGATTCCGAAAGACCGCTTTAATACAGACCCGTTCTACCATCCCGAGCCAACACACCATGGCACTAGCAATGCCCAGTTTTCATATCTACTAGAGCAAGACATAGGCGAGTTCGATGCAAACTTCTTCAACATCCTCCCGAAAGAAGCCGAATGTATTGATCCGCAACAGAGACTTCTCATGGAGACTGTCTACGATGGCATAACCGCTGCTGGTCTACCTATGGAGAAGTTGCGCGGGTCGAACACAGCCGTATACGTGGGCCAGATGTGCGATGACTGGCCTGGCATGCTCCAGACCCAACTCGATGAGTCACCGCCCTACATGGCCACGGGTTCGTCGCGAAGTATTGTAGCTAGTCGAGTCTCATACTTCTTCGACTGGCACGGTCCATGTATGAACATCGACACGGCATGCTCATCGAGTCTGGTGGCTATTCACGAGGCGGTTCAGACCTTGCGGAGTGGCCAGTCTGGAATAGACGTAGCAGCCGGGGTTAATATTCTGATTTCTCCAAGTATGTGGGCACCAAAACTGTACCCATCCCCTGTTCGGCCCAACCGATAACCTAACATTATTTCTAGTGTATTATATATCTGAGAGTAACCTCCGCATGCTATCCTCAGAAGGCCGGTGCCGGATGTGGGATGCTGCTGGGGATGGATATGGTCGTGGGGAGGGTATTGCATGTGTCGTGCTCAAGACGCTGAGTCAGGCCCAGCGAGACAATGACCATATTGAATGCATCATCCGGGAGACTGGCGTTAATCAGGATGGCCGGACCTCTGGAATCACCATGCCCAGCAACATTGCCCAGGCGCAGCTGATTCGTGATACCTACCGCCGAGCCGGGCTCGATGTACACAACCCGCTGGACCAGCCGCAGTTTTTCCACGCCCATGGCACGGGAACCAAGGCGGGAGATCCGCAAGAGGCAACCGCCATCTATCATGCCTTCTTCACGAAGGAGACGGAACCAGAGCAGAAGCTGTTGGTAGGCTCGATCAAAACACATATCGGTCATACGGAGGGCGCGGCGGGACTTGCCAGTGTCATTAGCACTTACTGGCCCTACAGCATGGACAAGTACCTCCAAATTTGCACTTTAATGAGCTCAATCCTGACATCCAGCCATTCTACGGCGCCTTCGAAGTCCCAACCTCCGTCAAGGAGTGGCCGGCGCTGAAGCCTGCTCAGGTGCGGAGAGCGAGTGTTAACAGTTTCGGTAAGGCAATTGCCGTTTTCTTATCGGTAGACAACTACACGATGATGCAAGAAGGCTAAAGCGCACAAATAGGCTTTGGTGGCACCAATGCCCATGCGATAATGGAGTCTTACGTACCTCCTGGGACAATCATGTCCGCACCGTCTCAATCAACCACACTATACACGCCCTTGCTCTTTTCTGCGAACTCAATTGCCTCTCTGCGGGAAATGATTTCCAGGCATCGCGACTACCTGGTAGATAGGCCCGAAACCAGCCTTCGTGATCTTGCATGGACGCTGCAACATCACCGCTCAACTTTGCCTTACAGGAAGGCCATCACTGGGCGGGATTATGAGAGCATTATCGCCCAAATGGGTAGTGTCTTACATGCCGAGCCCGCGGACCTGAGTGTTCGGTCCACCCAATCGACTGAGCCTCGCCTTTTGGCAGTATTTACTGGTCAAGGTGCTCAGTGGCCCCGGATGGGTGCCCGCCTGCTGGAGTCGTCGAGCTTTGTGCGCGATAAAATTGCTTTTTTAGATGAATGTCTCGCCACTCTCCCTGAAGATGACCGCCCGGATTGGACGATTAGTGACCAGATTTTGGCCACAGGGGAATCCTCTAGAGTTTTGGAAGCGGCTATATCTCAGCCTCTTTGCACCGCTGTCCAGATTGTCCTGGTTGATCTCCTTCAAGCAGCAGGGATCAAACTTGACGCAGTCGTCGGGCATTCTTCGGGTATGTTTGCAATATTCACCCAGTATAGTACGATCTATGCTAAGTGAAATTCAGGTGAAATTGGTGCAGCATATGCCGCTGGTCTCCTGTCAACCTGTGATGCTATCCGCGTGGCATATCTCCGTGGTGTCTGTGCCAAGCTCGCAGCTTCTCCAAGTGGTGCGAAGGGTGGCATGGCCGCTGTCGGTGTGTCAGCTGAAGATGTACAAGAGGTCTTTGATCAAGAGGAAATTCGGGAGGAAATCAAGGGCAAAATATCCATCGCGGCGCTAAACTCGGGATCTAGCATTACCCTGTCCGGGGATGAGGACGTTGTTCAGACAGTGGTAGACGTCTGCACTAGCCAAGGAAAATTCGCTCGTCGTCTACGGGTAGATACGGCTTATCATTCAGACCACATGCTGCCTTGCGCCAATCCATATCTCGAGGCTATGGAGCGCTGTGGTATTTCAGTCCAACAGCCTTTGGGAGACCGACCAGCGTGCTTCTCCAGTGTTTACCGTGATACCATTATGGATGCCAACAATCTGACCCCGGAGTACTGGGTTCACAATATGGTACAGACTGTGCTTTTCTTACCGGCCATCACCAGGGCTGCCAAGGAGATTCAGACACTCGACATCGCAATTGAAGTGGGCCCTCACCCGGCACTCAAGGGTCCTGCGTTGGATTCGCTAGGGGAGGTGCAAACGCAGATTCCGTATACTGGACTTCTCGGCCGTGGAAAGAATGACATAGATGAGCTATCTGCCGCTGTGGGATATCTTTGGACCCAGCTTGGATCGGGTGTGGTTGACTTCGATGGGCTGGAGAGCGCTCTGGCCGGTGACAAGGAACCCAAGACTCTCCTTGTCGATCTCCCAAGCTACCCATTTGACCACCAAAATCGTTACTGGGTGGAATGTCGCACATGGAAGGCTAACAGATTGTCAGACGCATATCCAAATACATTGTTAGGTTCGTGTCTGACTACCACGAGAAGCCCCGGTAATGCACAATGGAAGAACATCTTGAAGCCAACAGAGATACCATGGCTACAGGGGCATCGACTGCAAAACCAGCTGATTCTACCTGCTACTGCATACATTGTCATGGCGCTGGAAGCAATTAAAGCGGTGGCTGGGCATGCTGCCATAGCACTATTCCGGTTGACTGATTTAGTGCTAAAACGCCCAATTGTATTCGACGATGACAGTTCCAGCATTGAGTGTATCTCCAATTTGCAAATCTTGGCCTTCAATGACTCGCATATCAAAGCCCAATTTACGGTTGAGTCAGCACCCCAAGGAGAATTGTCGTTGCGGGTAAATGTTGAAGGCTCCATAGAAGTCGAATTGGGCAGATCTAATCCCGAGAAACTGCCGCTACTCGAGCATGATGATCACTACAATATAAACGAGCAAAACCCCGGAAGATTCTATTCGGAAATGAGAAACATCGGCTATCAGTACTCTCCACCCTTCCAAGGAATTACCAGCATCCAACGACGCCTAGACTTTGCTCGCGGTACACTGATCGACCAGTCGGACGACGCTTGGGATGATCAGCTCATCTTGCATCCGGGAATGCTAGACACAGCCATACAGACAATCATAGTGGCGTACTCGGCTCCCCAGGATGGGCGTCTCTGGTCCCTCCATGTGCCGACTCGGATCGCGTCGATGGAATTCAACCCCCATTTCATCTTCAAGCGAGCTTCGAAGCAAAAGATAATTCCGTGGGAAAGTCACGTTGCGGATCAGGTATCTAACATAATTGAGGGGTCTTTCCATCTTCTTACCCAAGACCGTAAGCATAGCTTTCTCCAGGCAGAAGGCATCGTGCTAGCACCATTCAGTCCTGCCCAAGCTCAGGACGATAATCAGCTGCTGGGCCACATAGAGTGGCTACCGGCACTCCCCAATGGTGCGAATACGGGGGATGGCAAGGCCTCCGTATCTCTGAATCCAGCAGTGACAAGAGATGTGGAGCGAATCTCCCTGTATTACCTGCGCAAATTGTGCGAGATGAGTACTCCGAAGCACCGAAGCCAGGCGCTGCCACACCATCAGCAGCTGCTCAAGTGGGCAGCATCTGTTATCGATCGGGTCTCGGTAGGCAAGCACCCCTTCATTGCTAAAGAATGGATCTCCGACTCAGAGCAGCTCATCGAGCAATTGAGCTGCCGGTAAGTACACCTCGGCGACGCAATCCCTAGGGACCGTTTGGACACTAATTCTGATAACAGTCATCCGGACTCAGTGGAAGCAAAATTGGTAGCGGAGATTGGCCCGAGTCTTCCCGACCTCGTTCATGAACAGGGCATTCTGGCGCACTATATCTCCATGAATGAGGAGGCCCCCACAATAAAGCGGGTCCATGAGCGTCTGGCCGATTTGGTCAAGCAGATCAACCACCGTTACGCGCACATGCATATTCTCGGAAATGGTATATCTACTCTTCGGCTTGGAAGACGACGCTAATATTATACAGGATCCGGAAACGGAGCCATGACTGAAATGATCGTTTCCTCGCTGGGGACCTCCTTCTCCTCGTACACCTTTACCGATGTGTCCGATAACCTCTTCAGTGAGGCCGAGTTTCGCTTCTATCAGTACGCAGATCGCATGATCTTCAAGACATTCGACATGTACCAGGATCCTACCGCTCAAGGCTTTACCGCCGGAACATATGACCTCGTTTTGGTAGGTAATGGTCTCCAGACGGCCAGGAACCAGGAGCAGGTTTTGTCCAATATCCGTCAACTGTTGAAGCCTGGTGGATATCTTATAAGCGCTAGTCCCCTTGCGGATGATTCATTGCGCCTCGGTCTTATCATGAGCGATTGCCCGGAATAGTGGAGCGGCGCTGATTCGGGGCGGCTAACATTAGACAGTTGGAACAACCTCCTGGGCCAATGCCAATTTTCTGGCATTGACACCTGCACCCCCGTGGAAGATGTTCTCCATGATATCCCGGTTTGGGCTGCGCAAGCGGAGGATGAACGTGTGCGGCTATTGCGGAATCCGTTGGGTGCATCAGTGGAGCTCCCAGACGAGATGCCACCCTTAGTTATTATTGGTGGGAGGTCTTTGGCCACTGTGCAGCTAGTAGAGCAGATTGCTGCTCTGCTATCGACCAAATTTCCAGTCGTGACTCGTCTTCATTCCCTCGAGGCCCTGATTACTACGTCCATTCCATCCAAAGCTACCGTGCTTAGTCTCGCCGACCTAGATGGCCTAGTAATGAAGTTGTGGACTGCCAACAAGTTGGAGGCTTTGAAGTTACTTTGGAATCAGGCAGCAAGGGTATTATGGGTTACCAAGGGTGCTCGCTTTAACGACCCGTATTCTACTATGATTCTGGCATCGTGCGAGTGGTCCGAATGGAAAAGATAGACCTAAACGTGCAGTTGCTGGATGTGGATTCTATTAATCCGGGCACTGCATGTCTGGTGTGTGAGACGTTCTTGAAACACCAACTGCTTCTTACTTGGTCGCCGGACAACTCCACTGAGAAGCTGCTATGGAGTTATGAGAACGAAGTGGCAGTAGAAGGCCAGCAGACTCTTATCCCGCGCCTTTATTCAAATGAGGTGGAGAATATGCGGTTCAACTCTGTCCGTCGGCCCATTGTGCACGAGGTCAACCCATTCGTGTCGACTCTACGATTGGCCAGCACAGGTGAATCTTACCAGTTGGAGGAGGTTTCGTCCTTGCGGGTTGCCGTGACACTGCCAACAATCCGTGTGTGCCAATCTATACTGCAGTTCCTCAAGCTTGGCTCGAATGGCTCTTTCATGCTCTGCATTGGCACAAGACAGGATGATTCCCAAGCTATGGTTTCGGCATTGACTCAGTATTCTGAGTCTCCAGCACCCGTAGAGCCTGGTTGGGAGATCGAGTTGCCATTTTCCCCTGAGGTTGGACGCTTGGCTCTGATGACCGTGGCCACCCACATTGTCACCCAGCAGATGCTGGCTATGGTACCCAAGAATGGTACCCTAGTGGTTCATGAACCAGACAATTTGCTCCATGCCGCTCTTTTGGATGCCGCGGAGAAAGACCGGCTTGATGTGTGGTTCACCACTTGCCAGCCTGGCCGTAACTCCAACTGGACGTACTTGCACCCTGCCCTTCCCGCTCGCCTAGTCAAAGAAAAGATGCCTAGCGAGGTCTCTGCTTTTGTCAACCTCGAGGCCCCTAATGGTTTGGGTGCCCGCGTGGCAGATGCCATTGCAGGTTGTGTCCCCCCGCATGGCGTGCATGCCTCGGCGACTACGTTTTTCGCTAACCAGCTATACACCCGCTCGGGGGTTGAGCCGGCTGTCCTCCGTGAACTTCTCCAAAATGCGTGGCAGTCAGCCTCCACGTCTAGCTTGGCCTTGGAGTTGATCGATCCTATTCCGCTGGGTGAGGTTTCGTTCCACAATCCGGTGAGAGAAGCCATCCAGCTGGTTGACTGGAACGTTCCCTCGGTGCCTGTTCATCTAAGACAAATTGACGCTGACCCAATTTTCCGCCGTGATCGAACCTATCTCATGATTGGTCTCACTGGAGAAGTTGGTCAGTCCCTTTGCCACTGGATGGCTCGTAAAGGGGCTGGTTGCATTGTCCTGGCAAGCCGTAACCCCAAAGTTACTCCTGCGTTCCTTCGCAAAGCTGAAGATCTAGGCGCGACTGTTCGGCCGCTCTCACTGTAATATTCCCTATCTTCTCTGACTATGAATTATACTGATCCAGGTTTTACGTTAGGGACATCACCTGTCGCGACTCTCTTCAACGCTGTCTCCGAGAGATCAGGCGCAGCATGCCCCCAATCGCCGGTGTGGCTAATGGTGCCATGATCATGGAGGATGTGCAGTTCGACCACGTAGAATTTGAGAGCATGGAACGGTCGATGAAACCAAAAGTCCTCGGAAGCAAATTACTGGATGAAGCTTTCTATGATACTGCTCTGGACTTCTTCATCATGTTTTCCTCCATTGCGGGCGTCGTGGGTAACACAGGGCAAAGCACCTATGCGGCGGCCAACATGTACATGGCTGGTCTAGCGCTTAATAGGCGTAAGCGTGGAGTTGTTGGCTCGGTTATTGCCTACAGTCCCCTCATGGGCTTGGGTTACATTGATCGCACCGACGAAACCATGGGCGATAAGTTCCTTTCCATGGGTGTCTCCCTCATGTCTGAGACGGATTTTCGCTATGCCTTCGCTGAGGCCATTAAGGAGGGTCAAGCGAGTTGTCACGATCGTGGGGAATTGATTACTGGTTGCGCGCCAAAGGTTCTGAGTGATATTACTCGTAACCGTTACAGGAGTGATATTCGTTTTAGCCACATTAACCTCGAGCGAGTCAACGGCCAAGCGGGTGCTGGCGCAGGGGATTCCTCTATCAGAGGCCTGTTGAAGCAGGCCGTTTCTATGGAGGAGGTCGAAGGGGTCGTGCTCAGTAAGAATACCGCTAACTTCTTTGACTGGACAATGAAGACCCAACTAACATTTTGTTTATCTAGATGCCTTTACGGCAAGACTTAAAACCCTACTTCGGATGTCTACAGAACAGCCCCTCGATGTCAACAGCAGTCTAGTTGCACAAGGCATCGATTCTTTGGTTGCAATTGACATCCGCGAATGGTTTGACCGCGAATTGGAGATTGATATGCCAGTTATCAAGATATTGGGTGGCTCTTCCATTGTCACTTTGATTAAGGGTTGTCTCCAAGATATTCCAGAAACTGTAGTCGACATCAGAAACCTTTCCAACGAAGATCAGTCAGTAGGCGGGAAGCCAGCAGCACCAGCGGCTGTAACGTCTGTGGTCGAGTCAGCCATCCCTCTGTCAGAAAGCAAGGACTTAATTTCGTCCAGCTCTGACAGTGAAAGCGTGGACACATCATCCCACTATGGAACCAGTGACACTGAGCCCGAAGAGGAGAGCACCTGCGAACCTTCGATCGACTTGGATCTGCGCCAGTCCACCATCCAATCGGCCACCGAGAAAGTTGTTCCTATGTCCTTCGGCCAAGCCCGTTTCTGGTTCATGCAGCATGCCTTACAAGATCCTTCAGCCCTTAACATGGGACGTTGCTGGCACATTGAAGGTGTCTTGGACCTGCCCAGACTGAGAAAGGCAGTCATCACGGTTGCGGACCGACATGAGGCAATGCGAACCCGATTCTTCTGGGGAGGAGAGGACCATGACGTTCCTATGCAGGGAATCTTATCGCGGTCTATTGTTCAGCTTGAGACTAAGCGAATCACCAACAAGGAGGAGGTAAACCGGGAGCTGGATGCTATGCGACACCATGCCTATGATCTCGGTGATTGGCAGCTTGTGAGAACTCGTCTTCTTACATTGTCTAACAGAGAACACTATATGATTATTGGCAATCATCCGATCACCTTCGATGATAGCAGTGCCTCGCTTTTGCTCGACGAGATGAATCAAGCCTATCTGGGACAAAGTCTACCTAGCCTTCCCCAAGAGGCTCAATACTCTTTCTTTGCGGAAGCGCAATTTCGGGACTACAAAGAAGGGCGTTTCCAGAAACATATTGACTATTTCAAAGCCTTGATCAAAGAAGAAAACCACCCACTCGAACTATTTGCTTTTTCCAAGGCCCCAGCCAGACCAGTTCAAACTCAATACCGGTAAGTACCGTCTGTGCGACAAAGGAGTAGTCATTGACCGTAGCATCTAGCACCCATCGATCGGATATGCGTCTCTCGTCGAAGCAGGCTTCTCTGCTCAAACAAATCTCACAGGATAGGCATTCGGCCACCTCTGACCTCTATACTGCCGTTTTGGGTGTGCTTCTGTTCCGTCTGTTGCCCAACACCAACCAGGTATTGCTTGGCATCGATGCCGACCGTAACGACCTGGCTCTGGGAAGATCCATGGGGTGCGCGCATAACGCGTTGCCAGTGCGGCTGGAGAGGCCAGGCATCAACACAAAGCTTGGGCCTTATCTTGATACGGTACGAAATGCAATTGAGGGCGTTCTAGAGCATTCAGCGGTGCCTTTTGATGTCCTCGTCAATGAACTCAAGTTGGACCGCTCAGCAAATGTTCCACCGGTGTTCCAGGCAATGATACAGCATTGCGTTGAAAGGCAAGATCAGGTTACATGGTGCAATGCTACCTGTAATCCAGATAAGTCCCTTAATTCTTGTACCGGACTTGACCTTTACTTGGACATTACCGAAAACTGTGCGGGCGAGACTGCCGTCGGCTTGGAGGTGCAGCAAGGACTATACAGCCAGGAGCACGCAGATCTTCTTGTCAAATCCTTTGTCTATCTTCTAGAGCAGCTCACCAGAAACCTCGATGTACCTCTAGCAACTTCTGAGTTGTGGCCACCCGAAGATATTTCGCGGGCGCTGGAACTTGGTACAGGTATGTCATCCTTCCTTCCTCTAGCCTTCTAAATACTAACTAACATCTCTCCATAGGTCCTGTAGCGCCTATGAAATGGCCACGGACTGTTGTTCATAGGATTGACCAGATGATCCAGCAAAACGGAAGCAACCTTGCCCTCAAGGATGGCAGTGGCAAGAGCTTGACCTACAACGATATGGGCCGCCGCATTGACTCGATTATCGCGGCTTTGCGCCAGGCAGGGACCCCGAAGGGCTCTGTTATTGGTGTGATGCAGGAGCCTAGTGTTGATTCGATTTGCTCAATGTTGGCTGTCTTCCGTGTTGGTGCAGTTTATATGCCGTTTGATCATCGTATCTCCATCGATCGGGCACAGGGTGCAATCCATAAGGCTAACCGTTATTGCTACTTGTTGATCAATCTACGGTCGATAAGGCCAAATCCCTTCAGGCTCCCATGCCAAGGGTGTTGGATATCTCCTCAGTGGCTACACGCCAGCACATTCCGCGCACACCAAACTTGGCAGATGGTAGCTCGCCTGCTATTATCCTGTTAACCGGTGGCTCTACCTTTGAGCCTAGCCTAGTCAAGCATGCAAGCATCATCCCCCAGCTTGAGGCCTCTTCAATGCAGTACAACTTCTCGAACGAGAGACCACTAGTCGCGCTTCAGCACTCGGCCAATTCCACTGATCTGTCGCTCACGCAAACCCTCGATGTATTGTGCAACGGAGGAAGCTTGATCATCCTGCCCGCCAACAGACAGGGAGACCCCGTTGAGATTGCCAAAACAATGCAAGAAGAAAACATCAGTTACACGTTGGCGGCTCCATCCGAATACCAGAATTGGCTCAGCTGTGCAGCGGAACAACTTCGAAATTGTCCTCGCTGGACCCTCGCCATTACGACAGGTGAAGGAGTCCCTCAGAAGCTCTTGCAAAGCTTCCGTGCTCTTGACAGCCCGTCTCTCCAGCTTCTCAACCTCTACAGTCCGGTTGGAACATGTTTCGGTTCCACTTGGCAGGGTCTAGTTGAGTATCGCAAGTCAGACGCGAAGTCACCCGTCGCCGCTGGGTATGCTTCACCCAACCAGGCAATCTACATCGTGGATGTCGAGCTGCGGCCTCTTCCAGTTGGTGTCCCAGGTGAGGTGCTCATCGGGGGCGCTGGTATTGCTGATTGCTATGGCAATATGTATAGTACAATGAAGGAGAGGTTTATTGAGTCTCCCTTTTCTCAAAGGGACAGCAACTTCACTACCAACAAGTGGGAAACCGTCTATCGCACTGGAGACCGTGGTTACCTACAGAAGGACGGTGCCCTTGTCCTAGTTGGCCGTTCAGATGGTGCCACTCAGGTCAATGTTCGCGGCTTCCAGGTTGATTTAGAAGAGGTCGAAAACGCCTTGATCGAGGCTTCTGGGGGATTCTTAACCAATGCTGCGGTCACCCTGAGAGAACATGGTGAGGATCAATTTTTAGCTGCTCATGTTGTCTTTTCCAATCCGACGTCTCAGAAAAACTCCCAGGAAATGCTGTTGGACAACCTCTTGATGCGTCTGCCCGTACCAGACTATATGGTTCCGTCGGCTATTGTAGTCTTGGAGGAAATGCCATTGGATTCTCACTACAGAGTGGACCGAACTGCCATCTGCCAGCTGCCTATTGATGAATCTAATGTGGTGACCCCGACTAGCCGAGAAATGACATCGACGGAGACCAGTCTTGCCGAGGTCTGGAAAGGTGTCCTTTGTGCCTCTGCCACTCCGACCCTTACTCCCAGCTCTGACTTCTTTCAAGTTGGGGGTACATCGCTGCTGATTGTGATTTTGCAGCGCGCAATCAAGGAGCAATATAAGGTCGCACTACCAGTAACCGAGCTGGTGGCTACCAAGAGACTCGCTGATATGGCCCGTTTGATCGAGGGGAAAGGGGTTTTTGTCTAGGCGTCTTTACTCAGGGTGTATATGCTAGTGGATATATTTCCCAAAGGTTGGAACGTAATTCTCCATGGCAGACTACTTAGCTATGATGATATTAGGACAGACAAAAATTTTCCGGCGTTGTATCTCAGCAGTAGCTATTCAGTTTGCAATGATGATTTGGCGCAGTGGTCTTTTATTGTGTGCATATCTTAGAGGTGGAGAAAGAGAGATAAGGACATGATGGAAGAATTTTCACTGTCGTCATCTAACAGAAACGGGAAAGACGGATGCCTGGCTGCCCGTCTCCTCGCTTCTCCCTTGACTCCTTCCACTTCACCCTACCATGCCAATTCTGTCTTCGAAGAGAGCCCACCCCACCTGATTCCTTCCTATGTATCCTACAATAAGCACGACCTGACCCAGTCCCGAAATACAACAAAACACAAAAAGAGAATAACATAAACAGTGTAAGATACCGGGGAGGAAACGCGACTTGGCTCAGCCCTATAAGGCACGCCAAGTGCGGAACCCCTCGGGCCATGAGCCAATCAGGGCCGGGCCATCCCGCGCCTTCCGTGGAGCTGCTTTTTTTCTTGCTTTGCGTTTGCTTTTCTGGTGCCTTTTTGGCTTGTGCTTGGACTTTGCTTTGCTTTGCTTGACTCGCTCGCCGACCGACCGGCTTGACTCGTTCCACCACCATCCATTCTTCTCCCTCCCCTCTTCTCCCCATCCGGATTTCTCCCCTTCTCCTCTCCTCCTTTCTTCTTCTCCCTCTCTTCCCTTCTACTCCCTTCCTTTTCCCTTTTCTCCCCTTCCCCTTCCCCTTCCCTCTTTTCCTTCGGTCGCGTTTGGTGTCCAACCCTTCCATCCTGCCGGTCCCACACGCGCGAGAGGAGCTTGTCTCCTCTGGTCTCCTGACCCAACCACCCAATGCCCCCCTCGCAGGACACCTTATCTCCTCTGGTCTCGGACAAGGCCTTCCATCATGAGGAGCATGAAAAAAGTGACTTGCCTCCCTCCCGGGTCACTTTAGTCCGCCAGCGACGGAAACTCCGTGTCATCAGCCCGGCGTGGTACCGGAACAGTTTACTGGCCAGCGTGGGCTTTCTAGAGTTCGCCAACGCGGGTGATTTCGCCGCTAATGTGTGGAACGATGTGCCAGTCCCGCTCTATGCGGTTATCTTCATGGCCATCGGGGGCCCGTTAGCCTTGCTCATCAGTGTCGCTGCCCTTTGGGATGGCATCCTTAGTTGGCGAAATGTCCGCATTCTGCAGCAAGAACGACAATACCTCCACGCTCTGCGGCTGCAGTACCTCAACCTGCCCCCTTCCGTCCCCGTCGATCAGGCCTCTGTCCGGCTCATTGACCGCCGCCTTGGCGTCAGTTTTCGCGAATTGGGCTCCGAACTCATCGATCGCGTCGTCATGGATGTTTTCCTGGGCATCGGTGCCCTTCTCGTCGGCACCGGTACAATAATGGCTATCTGGGGAGCTCATCGCCATATCTATTATATCAGCAATCTCCTGTCTGGCTTTGTGGGCAACTCCTTCGCTGCAGCATACGGCGTCCTTAACGCCGTATGGTCCCTCTACCTCATCTGGCGATTCTACGGACACGACCGTGCATGCACGCGTTCCTCCGCCATCACACCCTTTCGCGATCGCCTCCACCGTCGCTTCCAATATTTCCAATTACATTCGCTCGTTAGCGGAATCACAGGCCTCGTCGCAGGAGCAGCCTCCATGCTCACCTGCAAGCGGTGGTGGGGATACGTAATGCTCATCCCCTGCATGATCTTCGAAGTAGGCTGCAACCAGTTCTGGCGAGTCCAGCTGGGCTACGACCGTCCCATTGTGACCGAGCAGCCCCACTGGGGCTTGATCCCCGACTTCAAAGCAAGCAAAGAAGACGACGAAGAGAAGGACAGCGTCCTCCTTGACACGCTGGCGTCCGTCATTGCCATGCAAAACGCCCTCGGGCCTCATCCGACCGCTATGATCGACGTCGACTGGTCCTCCCTCGACTCCCTGCTTAGTTTCATCGTCCATAACCACCTCTTCGATTCCCTCTGCGGCTGGCTCGCGACCCATTCCTCCGTGCCCAAGGACTTTCATTATAATTTGTTCCGCTTCTGCGCAGACTATACGGAGATCACTTTGACTCTGGCAGACCTGCGCAATCTGCCTGAGGTCGAACATCCCCGACTCTTAGACCTTGTTCGGAATTTCTTGTATACTGAGGGCCGGCAGGTGATGATTGGTCGGGAACGGTATCTATTAGAGATGGTCGGGTATACTGCTTGGAAAAATTGTTAGATTATTGATATGTTTGGCATTGCATGCATGTGCATTTGCGTTATTTTATATTATGATGGGTGTGTGTTTGTTTGATTGTATATATGCATGAGACAGCGTGACGGTTGCTTTGGCATACAGCAAGAAGAGAAGTCCAGAGATAAGAGTTGGCAAGATGAGATAACTCGTGCCGGAACACGAGGAGTCATGATGACGGTTAGATATAAATGACAGTACTAATGTTTTCTTCCACAATTATCTTGCAGGTATATTGTATCGATGATGGACTGAGTAGTGGTCGTAGTATGTTTGTGTGATTCTATTATTGTAATTATGTCACTCGGTTTTCTAGTTTAGTCACTAATCTACTACGAAAAATAATATATAACACTTGGCTAACATGCGATGCTGTACCCATTCTGAACGCTCGCTGCTTTTCATCAAATAAAATCTCGCTCGCTAGAATGCAAGTCTCCGTTTTCCCTCCCCTAGTACAAGCAAGATTGTACGTTGCAAAACACAAAATGCGATCGAACAATCCACTTTCGCCCCCTCCCCCTCAGTCCCACACTCCTAGAAGCTAAAAAGCCCACTTCTCCGCTTTCCAAACGGATAAACCACCAACGCAGCGACAAACAACCCGACCGTAATTCCGATGGCGACTTGAATCATACCAATTCCCAAAATATTCGTTGACATATCGCTAGACGACGAGCTAGATGTAGTCGAACTCCCCGTTGCGTTCTTCGTAACATTCGACCGGATCTCATCCGCCGTGTCGACGCCTGCAATCAGGTTCCCTGTTGCGGCTAGACCGGATGGAACGAGGACGAAGATCGCCGGTAGGATAGCTGCAGCGGCGTGTCCATGCCAGAGTCGACTGTAGAGGTTGCCCATTACTCCCACGGTGAAGGCGCCGACGGTGTTGGCTACTTGGGAGTTATTTCCTAGGCGCGAGCTGACGAAGTAGTTGGTTACGTAGCCAGCAACGGAGATGGTGATCATGATGGGGGATTGTTTCCATTTGCCTTGGTTGACGATTAGGAGGCAGAGGGAGAAGGCGGCGACGAAGGGAAATCTTTGGGCGTAGGCGTTACCGAAGCCTCCGGTTGTCGGGCAGGTTAGGTTTGATGTTGCGTTGTTGTCGATTAGGCCGTAGATGGTGGTGCCGACGGTGACGCCGTAGCCGAGGAAGAGGGAGTAGATGATGGCGTAGACCATGCGGATGGAGCCGGCGACGATTTGTTGGGATTGGAGCTCTAGGCTGCTGCAGAGGACGGTGTAGCCCGGGAGGATCAGTGCGATGGAGGATTGGGCGATTGCGGAGAAGCAGAATATGTAGTCGTTGGATCCGTTGGTGAAGGAGGATGATTTGATACTGCCGAAGGCGCGGGCGAGGAAGGAGGTGAGGACGGCGGCGGTCACTTCGAAGACGTTGGAGTATAGGACTGATCGTGGGGCGAGGATATGCTGCATGCAGCCTAGGAGGCAGCCGTTGAAGAAGATTATTGGCATGTCTATTGGTCGTGCGTCGAACGCGAATGGGCCTACCATGGCAGTGGCTAGGCCGTAAATTAGGACGATGACGTATCGGTTGAATCGGGGCTTCTTTGCCATTAATTCTTCTAGTTCATTTCCCGCTTCTTCGATCCCTATCATGTCGTGGATGACGTTCTTGTATACGTTGTGGGTATCTGCTAGTCGTCCTAGGTCAACGCCTTGAACGACACGGACTAGTTTGACTTCTGTGGTTCGAGTGCTGGAGTCATCGAATGACATGATCATGCATCCTGGGACGTAGAGGAACTGGCTGTCAACGTCTAGAACTTTGGCCGTCATGCGCATGTATTCCTCGAGGCGATGGGTTGGAGCCCCGAATCTCATTAACGCCTTGCACAGCTGCATGATGTATCTCTGTCGAGCAATGATCTCGGCAATCTGCAGGGTTACTTGGATCTCCTCTTCTAGTCTCATGCTGTGCCTTCGACTCTTGTCTCGTCGTCTAGATGCAGCGCTTAGAAGCTCGCCGGTAACAGGTGTACTTGCACCGCTAGCACTGCCGCCTCCGACTAAGGTTGATGTTGATACGTTGCCAGGCTTCTTGTACCATCGGACTTTTTCCTTTCGTGGAGTCGTGGTGCCCGGGGTGCTTCCACCGAAGGGGTGGAACGTGTCACTGGCTAGGTGGAGCCCGCGCGCTCCTTTGTGGAATTGGTCCCAACCGCCGCTAAGTCTGAGCAGCTGAGATAGGACGCCTCCCGATCCCGAGCTGCGGCGAGGTATCGCTTCGTTTCCAGAGTCCTCATCATGGGCAGAAACTCCAGCGGCACGATGCAAAGCCGACTCCCTACGGGCACTCGGACGACGGCCGGAAGCTTCATGTGCCAGCTCGCGGACGATCCGATGCGCTTCGGTGCTACAGGTCTGGTCTTGATCTTCTTCTCTGGAATGCAGGTCAGATTCGGTGCCACGACGTCGATGGTCGATGGGTTGTAAGTCGTCTTCGTTAATATCGTCTGGACGACCGAGACGGGCAGCAAGGCTCGCAGCTTTCTCTTTGATCGAGTCTCTGAATGCTTTCAGACGTTCGCGTCTGGGTCTTTTCTCACTCGTCGTCGTCTGTTGCTGCTTTTTCTCATTCTCTTCCTCCCGGCCATTTGTACTGGTAGACTGTGGGCCTCTGTGGGATACATCGGTTATGTCGACTGATGCCTGAGCAGATGAACGGCGTCGAAGGTGAGATGTACCGGGTGAGAGAACGCGTTCGTCTGCATCCCAGATCCCGTATTCAAACCTGCGATCCGCCCCGAAGTGGACGCGATGAGTACGGGGACCACTGGGTGAGGAATCGCTTTCGGGGGTAGAATCATGTCTTTTCTCAACGTCGAAGTCTGCATTCGGTCTCTCGACGCTGTGATAACTGATCAAAGAGCTGGAGCTTGACTCGTTGCTGCGCCTTCCTTCGGACATTATTCCCGCTTCCTGGTGTGATGCAAGTTCAGAGGGCGATTTGTCGAAGGATGAGTGATGAGAATCGAATAGTGGTGTCCCTGCTGGCCTATCAAAGGCATCCAACACCACAGTGTAACAGTATGTACGGAACGTCTCCTACCGCTGTGTGCTATTCACCATCCAGCGAGAAAGGCGATTTCCCCTTCAAGCCGAGTGGGAATGGTCGCTCAGGACACCCCCATTGAATACATTAGCCCCGCTTAAGCGAGATTTCCTGTTCAGAAGGAAGACACCGGTTAACAACAGTATTGTTCAGTGTGATCTGCTAACAATAGTAGCATGGTCCAACGAGTGAATAAGCCCGCCACGGGGGCAAAGATCTCTTCTCTCCATCGGCGAGACGTCATAGAGGGCTAGATTGTGAGTAGGACCTGCTGGCGTGGTCGGCGAGGCATATGTAACCTTATCTGGCCGAGAACAGAGTCGATGACGCATCTGGTTCCAACGGTTCGGTCTAGGCTTTTGCAGCCAGCGTCTTCTTCACAGTGTCCCTCTTCATGTCTATGATCCACGGTCAGCATTTATTAAGCAATAATGGACAGTCTCCACAGACCGTGCATCTCAGGAACAATTGATGGTTCAACTAATGGCCAGGCACGCATCTACTCCGTTTAGGATCGGCCGATGATAATAGCTTGGACTGATCCGGGACCTGTGCATCCGATGAGTCTTTACCGAGATAATCGGAACTTTGCCGTAAGCTGATGATCGAATGACGAATAATATTAGGTACAATGAAATCATAAAGTGGTGGGTTGCAGGAGGAATTGAGTTGTTCACATGCAAGCTGCCTTTTAATCAGGTGACCGGCCGTGCTCTCTTTCACGTCACGTGGTCTCCTGTTCCTCAATGCTCTCTTTAACAACTTCGTTCTCGAAAGTCACTATAATATTCACTCTATGTGATTGTTCGTGACAGTATCCATTTTAAATGAATAATGATCAAGATTTATGTAAGGGGCGAAGCCTGAATGTGGGAAATCATATCATTACTCAAGGGTACATTAACCAGTATCGCAAATGAATATTAAGTTATTGTCCACATCGACCGAGTAGTGGTATCACTACTATATCAATGGTGTGCTAATGCTCCAGAAATTGAGCGTATACTATGTTGAGGCTCCTAGAACAGAATTGAAAGGCAATTGGCCACCTTCATGGATGGCGAGGGTAGTTAGGTAACATGAAAGGGCTATATGACCACGTCCTGTACTTACTATACGACGTGATCCCTCTACCATCTAGAAGATCTTTGTTCTTCGGCATCATGTAAATAGAGTGGTAAAGATGACCAGAGAGCAGGCCCTTTGGCATCACAGATTGTATCAGAGCAGCAGAGGGGAACGCCACATTGCAAAGTTGATGTCAGTTCGGGTTTACATACAGGCTCCCCGATTGCAATTACAGCCCTTTTAACACTCAGGGTTTCATCTTGACTGCGTTATACTTTGACCGGATCGAATGTCCGACATCAAGTATGCGAGAGGCTGGACTCTCTAAGAGTACCACGCAAAGGTCCAGGCCTTGTGCACATATCAACATGCTGCATCACAAGCCTGAGTGATAATCAGGTGTCGTGCCAGTTTAGATAATGACTATGCGCATCTCACCGTCACGTCACTGTGGCTTGTGCTCTCCTATGTCTAATCCTTAAGGGATAGGTTTATATTGTAGCACAAGTGCGACCTGACAACACAGATAATTTCGTCTCGCTCCCTCATATCAGTCATTATCGGCGTTTCAGTCATCATGTTCGGAATCATCAACTTGCCTAGTCGCTCAACCGGCACTGTGTCCAATGCTTCAAGTTCCAAGAAGCGTTACGCGCCCATTGTTAACGAGCTTCTCCAATTACTCGACAAATCGTTTCCTTATGCTTCTGGAATGGAGGCCCTAGAGCAAGCTATCCAATCTGCGCTTCAGTACAGGATTGTTGAGATGGAAAGCTACGGACTCACCTCTGCTAAAGGATTTTTAAACTTTGCAACCTGGATGGTCGATGGTTGGATACCCACCGAATCGGCAAAGGGTAGAGATATCTACTATATCTTGTGCATCTTCTATTTCGTGTTCGACCAAGTCCCGCTCAAGGATTGTCAAACTGCGATTAGGCCCGAATCTGTGGGGCAGGATCTGTCCGAGCTCTCCCAATGGATGGTGAAGTTTGCCAAGGAAGTTGGAAGCCACATGGACCGACCGGAGTCGCTTAACGAAGCATCACTCACTTCTTTCTGGAATGCTCCAAGCTTCCATGTGTTCGAGGCAGATGAATCCAAGACCGAAGGGGGAAAATGGACAAATTTCAATCAATTTTTTTGTCGTCATCTCAAGGACGGCGCACGGCCCATTGATGGCGAGGGTGACGACAACATTGTCATTTTCCCTGCAGATTCAACCTTCTCCGGTTACTGGGATATCACTGACGAGTCGATGGTCGAGCTGAAAGGTCTACCATGGCATATAGGCGATCTCCTTGGGCCATACAAGTCCGACTACGGCGAGTCTTTCAAGGGCGGGATCTGGTTGCATTCTTTTCTGAACTCATTTGACTATCATCGCCAGCACGCGCCGGTGGGAGGTACTATCAAAGTCATCGACACTATTGATGGCGCGGCCTACCTAGATGTTGCGTATCAGCCTGATAGTCGGTCATTGATGCCAAAACGCCCTATGCGTCCTATATACTCCTCGGGGCCTGTTTACCGGGGAGCGGAGGCGACGGATAAAGAAGGATACCAGTTCCTGCAAGCACGAGGGATCATCATCATAGAGAATGACAAGATAGGTACGGTTGCTGTTTTACCGATCGGAATGGCACAAGTCTCGTCTGTGGTGGTCAGGGACGACCTCAAGCCAGGTGCCACCATCAATAAAGGTGACGAAATCTCACATTTTGAGTTCGGTGGCTCGGATATTGTGGTGATGTTTCAGGGCGGAAAAATAGACCCCCATACTCTCCCACAGCCATTATCACGCAAAAGCGAAGAGCCTTTGTATGAGCACCATAACTATGGAGAGATGCTCGCTAGGGCCAAGTCAAAGTCCAAGGCCTAACTGGTTGCGAGAACTCGGCACGCTGGTGAAAGATCTTGGCCTCATCGTCTCGCAGAGTTGAGAAAAATTGTTCATCTAAGTATATCCTGAAGGCAAAAGGCAACTTGCAATAATTAGTAAGTTACTTGCAATGAAAAATTGATTGCTCAATTTTAATATATTCTACCTGTCAAAAATCCCAATTACCGGATTATGGCATCTCATAATCTATGGTGCTTTTGTGGTTTGTTGGGGAACAGAAAAGAGTCATCAGGACGAATGTAAGAAACGGCATGCTATGAAACCGTTGGTGCCTGAGGTGTCAATATAGGTTCGGCCGATGAACCAATCCCAAAATAGCCTAGCGCACAGTCTCAAGTGGCTGACATCAGCCATGCACTCGTACATCTCTCGCCTCCATCTGGATAGTTCCTTCCGCTCTGCTTTGCTTACTTTCTCAATCCTAGTGTTTCTCTCAGTATTTAATTTCACTGAGGGGGCTGTTAACCATGCCACCTCAAACCCGAGCAATCCAACATAGCGAAAGTGTGGGGGAGAAAAAGCGAAAACCTGTGCGCCGTGACCCGGAGAAGAGGCGGCAACAGAACATTCAAGCCCAACGCAGATACCGTAAGTGCGGGTCTCATATGGAGTCACCACATCGGAGATCAGCTCGCAAAATTACTAATTACGTACCCGTTTAGGAGAAAAGCTCCGTGAGCGCTTAGGTCGTCTCGAAGCGCTGGCAGAGTCTGCGGGACAGACCTCGGCCGTTGAAAGCACCCCGGCTTCGGGCATACAACCAAGTGGGGCGATCACAGCGCCTGGCCTACCCATCGCTTCAAGTACTATCGTTCCAAAGACCCTTCCACTCTATGATGCTTCGGATGTATCGGTTCCGTGTACATCTGTGGCGACCCTTAGTAATTGCCAGCAACTTATCCCCATCTCAGATGGGAGTCCGCCGACATTACACACATCAGACTCCCCCACAATACCCTATCTATATTCTGATGAATCTCCCTCAACAATAAGTGCATGGGATCCTCCATCATGTGTGGATCCTTCTCTTCTAGTTCGTGAGAAGCCCAGTGATAGCCTGGAGCTTTACTGGACAACCACCATTGACTGCGGCTGTACCAGTCCGCATTTCCGAATACAGACAGACGGTCCTGACCTTCTCGGCCGTAATGAAGTCAGGGTATTCAGGTTCGGCGCCAATACAACTACAGCCGATCCATATATCAATAGTCTCCGGATTGATAGAGTTTGCACCATCGCCGCAATTATTGATCTTGTTAGGCATTTAGGCATTACGGAGGAAGGGTTATGTGCTGACCAATCTCCCTCGCCATTCTTTCGGCCCGGCGCAGTGATGGCAGACGATACAGCCAAGAGCAAATTGATTCGCACTGTACAAGAAACATTCAAGAATTTAAAGCCAGATCTGAGGCCATCTCAAGAGCAAATCACTATCGAGCACCATCCGATCATAGACATTCTACCTTTCCGAACGTTACGGATAAACCTCATCACTCGCCAGCACGATATAGATGAGGATGAGTTCTTCGACGATATGCTTTCTGGCTTAGTATGCTGGGGAGGTGCTGGCATTGGGAAGAGGGATCGGCAAGTCTCCACTGGGTATGCATCGACAGGTACGCCATGGGATGTCCGTAGTTGGGAGGGAAAGGTGTGGTTTCTGAAGAAGTATTGGACGCTTTTGGGTGGTGAAGATGGTGAACTCGTACGACAAAGTGAATGGTGGCGCAGTATCAGAGGAGACGAAAGTGAGATGTGGCTAGGATAGGAACTAGCTGCGTGACATGTAAATGATTTCCGTGTCATGGATGATACATGCCTCAGATTCCATCAGGTAAAGATTGTACAAATATCATATAAGATCTTGCTCTATGCTGTCAGACGAAGGTGGACAAGGAGGTAATTTTACGTCACGAAAGTGACCTATTATTGCATGGGGACCACTCTAGCTTTCTGGAAGAGCCATATTCAGGTAGTTGTCAAGCAGAAAATAATGTCAAGGCAGTCTCATCCCGGGCATGTATAACTCTAGCCAGTCCTTCTTACCTGAGGAGCTCCAGTCTCTTTCATTCACTTCTCCCACACTTTGGAAACACAGTAAGGCAGGGTAGTGAATGACGGCATGCTAGTATTTGACTCGGGGCTCAGAGTTGTTTTCTTGAAGGACTAGAATGAATTCTTGTTCCTCTCACTTGGGATGAGAAGACGCTAGCTCTAGTTTCGAGCTATAGAGTCAGAGATCAGACCGGCTATTGCAACTCCTCTTCCGTGCTCAGTGGCTACGGATTCTGCTGCTACCTCCGTCTACCAACTATCTGACTCACTACTCTCTTCTTTTGCGGGCCAGTCAACGAACTTCCATCACCTCTATCATAACACAAAATGTCCATGAGAAGAACAGATAGGGTCAGCAAAGGCAGCAGGTCGCTATCTCAACCCCACCCTCCCCGCTCCTCTTCTATCTTCGATCCGGATCAAACCATGATGGATATAAGTGAAGTTATCTTCTGTAAGTGCAATACAAATTTCGTATCCTCTGCGGACTAGGTCTCAAAACATGAATGAGGGGTCCTTGTCTAGGTAGAAAGGGTCACGCTTCAGCTAATAATCGTACCAGCGAACGACAGCAGAGATGTGCAGTATGCTCCGGCTGGCTCTATATGCGAGATTCTCAACCTCTATCAGACAAATCCTGGTCGTAACGGCATTGGTTCATGGACTAGAGAGCATACGACCGGTATTTGGGGACAAGCAAAGGTCCCCGAGTCAGGCCAATACGCGCTTCTTGTTCGGAATATCAAATGCTCCAATGAACACAGGGAGTTCGAAATCGACTCTATAGTTGTGCAGAGTGATCACATCAAAAGTTTTCTGGCCAGGGTCATGGATGGCTACCCTGGCATTACTATGTCACGCAAGCGCGTACAGTTCAGCAAGCCCTTCGAACCGTTTGTCCATCGCTGGGAAATGCTTTCCGAAGCTAGAGACAACGAGTCCAATGCACAAGCTAAGGCCCATGTGGATCTACTTTATGGAGTCCTGGCAGCCGAACTCAGCGATGTCATCACGAACAAGCAAAACCTTGTCCTCGCTGGTGTGATCACTTTTGATATGCTCTGGACGATCTTCGAGCCAGGTCAGATAGCTCTCAGTACCGTGGACAATTGCAATCGTGCCTTTCGGCTTGAAAAGGGTTGGTCCGGTTCGGGCTTTGAAATCGATACCGTTTACATCGACTATAATGGCCATGGTTTTGGGTACAGGAAGCACAGCCTCTCCATTCCAACCTTTGAAGACACCAAGCCTATTATGTCCTTGCCAGTGATTCCTTTTGTGTTTCATAATGACAAGGACACGCTGCGCAAAAGCCTGACCCTTCGTGGAAAGCTATGGTATCAGCACAAAGGTCATCACCACAAGCATTACGAGGGCTTAGCCTTGACATCTTATGGTGATCAAGAGATTAGGTACAAAATAAACAGCCGAGTTATCATTGACACGGAGGCATATCTCGAGTTCCACTCGGATGAATCTCCTATAAGTTTGGAAGCCATATCCGACTCACCAGCCGATAAAGACTTTCTGATCGCAACTCCAATTCTACGTGGATACTCTCTCAAAGACAGAAAATGGCTGGAATTTTTCATAGATGGTGTAACAGACATTGTCTGGAACTCGCGACCGTTTAAATCTCTGATACTGCCTGGCGGCGAGGCCAAAGATCTCAAAGACCTAGTTCTTGCGTTCGCGAGTTCCCAGTCAAAGAATTCCGATATCTCTGATAATCTGCTCAAAGGCAGAGGTCGCAATGTCATTGTGCTCCTCCATGGTCCCCCTGGAGTTGGCAAGACTCTGACGGCCGAATGTGTCGCCGAGGTCATGCAAGTGCCGCTTTATGTCCAGAACGCGGGAGCGCTAGGAACGACTGCCGCGAGCATTGAGAAGAGCCTGAGCGTTGTCCTTCGTATAGTTCCGAAATGGGGCGCTGTACTTCTTCTGGGGGAGGCCGATATTTTCACACAGGAACATAACCCCAGCGATCCCAAGGAAAGGGAGCTCTACCATGCATTCTTACCACTACTGGAATACTTTGAGGTAAGTGCCTAATACAGTATTCAAGAATAGTCTTAACAACATGACTTCCATCAGGGAGTTCTATTCCTGGCTAGTAATCGTGTTGAGGTTATAGGCCCTACATTGGAATCCCGTATTGATGTCGCCATCCACTATCCCCGACTTGACTCGGAGTCCCGCCGCCATATCTGGACCCGTTTACTCGGAAAGTCAGATAGAAAAGCATTCTCCGAGGGTGAAATCTTCAATCTGGGGGACTGCGATCTGAACGGAAGAGAAATCAGGGACGTTCTCAATACTGCCAGGGTTCTCGCCCGCTATCGGGATACTAAGCTGAGCTATAAACATGTCCTAACTGCCCTGCAGCTTAGTACCCGACCCGTGAGCAGGATGATTATTGAATCATGAGAAGTTATCTGGGGAATGCTCACAAGTGTATCATATCTTACTACTACTATTTCCACTCATTATAAATGGCATCGAATCCATTCAAGTTAAGTGTGAAAGTTGATTAGTGCCGGTTGTCTCTTTCTTCTCGTACACACCCTCTACTACTATATCTATCTACATAGAAGTGGCTAGGTGCCTCCAAATAACTAAAAGTTTCTCCCTCTTCTAGACATTGAAACACTAATAATACCATCTATTGACGCCATATACTGCTACTACCAAACTATTTTTCATGCCTACTTAGTATTATTATAAGTTAATGATCACCAACAAAGTAGGTCATCAAGAGTCGGACTATCTTATTGTCTCAACTACTCTCCATGAGTACGGAAAGTCAAAAAGTCCGCAACTCTCTACTCCGAACAGCGTTACATTCTCCCCTTTGTTCCTGAGGCCCTGGAAGCTGACCTGAATGGAGAAGCCAGTGGGGCCGTCGCGGAGTGGGGCCGCCTGACTAAGGCATTCGGGGACAGATCCTCCCCCGACAGCTCCGGAGTAAGCAGCATTTCCTGACGCGCGAGTTGCCAATCCATCAATTTGAGGGTTACTATTGCATACCCCAAATATGGACAGTATATCAGAGTTTCTACTATGAATCAACCATATTTGGCAAGCTTTCCACCTAGAAGGTAACCACCTATGTCACAAATGGGTCACAGAGTGGATATCCATGGACCTCGATGGCAGGTCACATGATTGGACGGGGAAGGCCAGACCGCCTGGGATTCGCCGCTCGGTATTTTATTCCTGCAAAAAAAACTTTCCTGATTTTGCCCAGGTCAGGCTAATCTCTCCTGCACTCTCCGATCTCTCCTCTGGCTCCTGGAGTCTTCTGTTACTCAAGTGCCGCTGAGCAGATTGGAAGATATCATATTGTTTCATTAACCTCCGGCAAGATGCAGCCTGTTGCTCACCAGTCGGGAGGCGCGTCTGGAGATCCGCTCCCGCCGTCACTGCCGACGGAGGCGATTGAAGAGAAGGCCAGCGTGTCTAGCTTGGGATCCTGGAACCATTTGGTTGCTGGCGCGTGAGTTGACTCGATGCTCTGGTCGAGAAGCTAAATACTGATGATGATCTGAAATAGTACCGGTGGAATGGTCACTGCTATTGTTACGAGTCCTCTTGACGTTCTCCGCACGCGGTAAGATTAAGCCTTCATTCTCAACGCGAGAAATAACGCAGCTTTGCATGCTGACATATATTGTGGCTTCTAGTTTACAAACCGACTATTACCAGACGTCAGGTGTGAACCGCTCGATTCCCACACACGCGCATGTTCGTCAGTCGTTCGTTAAGACTTCTATCCGCCATTTCCGGGAGACGTTCGGCATTCTTTTCTCTATCCATCGGGTTGAAGGCTGGCGGGGTATGTTCAAGGGTCTTGGACCCAGCTTGACGGGTGTTGTTCCGGCCAGTGCGGTGAAGTTCTACACATATGGCAACTGCAAACGCCTGCTGCCAGAAATCTTGGGATGCGACAAGGACACCACGCTTGTGCATGCCATGTCCGCAGCATGCGCTGGTATTGCTACTGGATCGGCCACCAACCCCATTTGGGTGGTAAAAACTCGTCTCCAATTGGATAAGGCCGGTGCTCGCCGGTACAAGAACAGTCTGGATTGCACCAAGCAGATTCTGCAACAAGAAGGACCTAAGGGTCTCTACCGAGGTCTGACGGCCAGCTACCTGGGCACAATCGAAACCACACTGCATCTGGCCATGTACGAGCGGATCAAGGGACTCATCTCTAAGGAGGTCAATCTGGATAAGAACTCGGATTCGAACAAGTTTGTGCAGGGCCTTGCTCTGAGTGGAGCGTCGGGATTGTCGAAGCTGTTTGCTTGTTTGATCGCGTATCCTCATGAGGTGAGTTGACGCGTCGAAAATCTTCCGACATCAGCATATTCTGACATTTGCAGGTTATCCGTACTCGACTTCGACAGGCTCCGATGGCGGACGGCCGCCAGAAGTATACAAGCATCCTCCAGTGCGCGCGGTTGATCCTGAAGGAAGAGGGAGTGATCGCGCTGTATGGAGGATTGACGGCACACCTTCTCCGCACGGTGCCGTCGGCCGCGATCACCATCGGGACCTACGAGCTGGTTCTCAAGGTCCTTGAGGGACGCTGAAAGGATGTGACGGGCGGCGGCAAGACCCCGCGACTTTCCCTTCTCATGTATTATAGACTGTACGATAAAAGTGGCACATAGATACCCTGTAATAATGATGTGAACAGCAGCGACTGCAATAGGGTCTCGTTTGGCGACATGGAGTTTGCATCTCAATCAGGGAACTTTGCATAATCTGGATGTTACTTTCTCCGGTGACTTTATCTTAGCGCAGCAGTTGATCTGTCTCCTCAATATCATGATATTCATTTTTACTTTGTCTTATGTTGGAATTTAATTCTATGCTTAGCCATCATAAAGCGTTTTGTACAGATGTATAGTTAGTAGCCTTCGATCGGCACTGGATGGGAACGTCATGGTGCTTGAAACCAGTCAAACAACCAGGCAGAATTTCGGTGGACTTGAACAGGAGTTGGAGAGAGTTCCGCAACAGTTAGTTTGGTAGACAGACGAACTAAGTTTTAGTTTATGGTTCAGCGGCGTCCTCCGAGTGGAGATGTAGAAGCGCGCACTGATGACTGAAGATTGAGTCTTTGACCCAAGCAAAGTGGGCGCGGGTCATCTCCGACCGGCTTTTGCCTTCGCTAACAATAGATATTATTATTACGTGCAGACCATAATTAATCCTAGTATACTAAACTAGAACCGATATCGTGCGTGGCAGATTAAGGCTTCCGTGTTCTGCCGTTAGCACGCTTCACTAGCATCAAACTAGCACATGGAGGAGAATACATCCGATCCCACGCAAGTTGCAGACACTCAATCTGCGGGCGCAGCGATCGAGCCAGTGACAAGCGAAGTTCTAGAGTGGCCGTGGCGGTTTAGTGCAGCAGCCATTTCCAGGGAACAGGGAATCCGGGATGGCCATTGGTCTCACCTCCTGGCCGGACGGTGGATCCCCCATTCCTTCCTTCTGCGGGATTTCCTTTGCGCGGACTCCAGCGCAGTCTATAGCACTGCTCTTGCTCATCGATCATCATTATGTGCTGCAGGTAAGCAGACAAAGAAGAAGGTTAAACTCATACTTTTAAATGATGGATGGAAAAAAAAGATAATCTGAGGATAATTTGGGATGACAGCAAGCTTACCAGACTGTCAATCAGGTTCCCGCCAGCCGATCTTACTCCTTTGCGTTGCCCATTCTCATTTCCATGCCTTGCAGAGACCCAGTGGCACACAATCCAATCTTGCCATCCCGGTGATCGGCGACCCACGACTTTCCCCCCATGTGGGGGGGTGCAGCCGGAGTGAGGAGATGCAACAAGAGGTCCGTGGAAGACCGCCCTGCAACCCCAGCACACGAACACGAACACAGGAAAATGGCTAGCAGTTCCAGGGATGTCCTGGCGGCAACCCGGAGGAACGTCTCCCTTTCTTCTTTCTCACACTCCTTGCAGCAGGATTGTCTGTGTCACGGACCTTGACAGCCAAACTGATCCGAACTGAAGAAGTCGAGGATCGAGAAGGTTTGCTCCGTTGCTTGGCAAACTCAATCCGATCCCTATAACTGCTGCTTTCTTCCCCCGTGACTGGCCTCGACTTCAGTCTCTTTTGATCCTTTGGCCTCCTTTGACAACCTCGTTGTGTCTTGTATCCAGCTTGACCTCACTTTCCCTCGTCTGCGCGCCCCTATCTCGAGACAATGGCCGCAAAGGCATCTCCTACGGCCGTCTCGGCCAACTCTGGCGCAGAGGAAGTTGGACTGTCGGATCCCGGAGATTCGCAACTACTAGGTGAGTTTGCGACCGGTTGCTCATGGACGAGGGTAAGGGGCGCCCATGCTGATTGATACCAGCCAAAATGGGCTATAAACAGGAACTCCGTCGCCAGTATTCCACCGTGCAAATATTCGCCGTCGCGTTCAGTATCATGGGTCTAGTGCCATCCATCGCATCTACACTTTCGTTTTCCTTACCCGCCGGGCCTGCAGGGATGATCTGGGTGGGTATCTGCATTAGGGGTTACAGCTCGCGTGACACGAGCTAATATCATGCAGGGCTGGTTTACCGCAAGTATCTTGATCTTCTTTGTTGGATTGGCCCTGGTATGTGGTTCTTCGCCCCTCGTACATGCCAAGCCATGCTAAGATAACGATATATAGGCCGATATGGCATCGGGTATGCCCACAGCTGGTGGTCTATACTGGTGGACGCACTACTTTGCTGGAAAGAGATATAAAAATGTGTTGAGCTTTCTGGTTGGCTACAGCAACACGCTGGGCCTGATCGGCGGAATCTGCTCTGTGGATTGTGAGCTCTCACTGACCCCTAAGACGGAATAGCTGCTAATTGCCAGACACTCTCGCGCTCATGATCCTCGCCTGCGTCTCCATCACCCGCGATGGCAGTTATTCCGCCTCCAATGGCACCATCTACGGCGTCTATGTCGGTCTCATCCTAGTCCACGCCGTCGTCAGCATCTTCTCCGGTCCAATCATGCCGCGTATCCAGACATTCTGTATCTTCATCAACATTGCCATCATCATCGCTACAGTCATCGCTCTGCCTGTCGGCAAAGTGACTCGCGGAGAGTCCCTCAACGCAGGGACTTGGGTCTTCGGGCACGTGGACAATGAGAGTACATGGCCAACAGGGTGGAACTTCATCCTCGCCTTCCTTGCGCCAATCTGGTCGATCGGATTTTTCGACTCATGCGTGCACATGAGCGAGGAAGCCCTCCACGCCGCCAAAGCCGTCCCCCTTGGAATTATCTGGTCCTCCGGATGCGCATGCGTATTCGGATTTCTCGTCCTGAGCATTATCGCCTCGGTCATGAACCCGGACGTCAACGCCACAATCAACTCTGTATTCGGCCAGCCCATGGCCCAAATTTACTACGACGCACTTGGAAAAAAGGGCGCGCTCGGATTCATGGCCGTGCTAATCGTAATCCAATTCCTAATCGGCCTGAGCCTGGTATGCCCGCCCATCCCCTAATCCACACCCAACATCTACAATTTACCTAATGTTCCAATACTAACCCAACAAATAACAGATCACCGCTGCCTCTCGCCAAGCCTGGGCCTTCTCCCGCGATGGTGCTCTCCCCTTCTCGAACTACTTCCGCCACGTCAGTCGTCGAATCCGCTACCAGCCCGTGCGCGCAATCTGCGGCCTCGTAGCCGTCAGCATCGTTTTCGGTCTGCTCTGTCTCATCAACTCTGTCGCAGCGAACGCACTCTTCTCGCTCTTCGTGGCCAGTAATTACGTCGCGTGGGCGACGCCTATCCTTTGCCGCTTGATCTGGGGCAATGAGCGCTTCAGGCCGGGGGAGTTCTATACGGGATTTATGAGTCGCCCGATTGCGATTATTGCGGTGCTGTGGTTGGCTTTTGGGTTGATGTTGTCGATGTTCCCGACGACGGGGCCGAATCCCAGTCGTATGTTAATCCCTTTTCCTAGACTCATAAGAATATGGTCATTCTGTGGGGAATTGTGCTAACTTGATGGTTTATAGCATCCGATATGAACTACACTATCGTTATTAACGGATTCGTGTGGGTTGCTTGCATGATGTACTACTTCCTGTTCGCGCGCAAGTGGTACACAGGACCGAAGATGACAGTGGACGGGTTAGAAGAGGAGAAGCCGGAGTCAGAGACATCAGAGAAGAGAGATGAGGCGCATACTAGTGCTTCCTACTAATTATACAGTTTACATATACCAATACTAATAGACAAGAATGAAGCAACTTGATATGTCATAATTCAAATCAAAACATCATATACATTGGTATCAATCATCAACCATCCATCCATCATCAACAAATAATCCCCTGATCCTCAACTCCACCCCTTACAAAGCAGCCATAACCCCCAAAACACCCGCAACACCCACAACCCCCATCCCCAACCCAACTCCCGGCGTCGCCATAGCCACACCCGCCCCCTCACTCGTCGAACTCGTCGCACTAGCACTGGATCCACTAGCAGTACTAGCCGCACTCCCCGTCGCACTCGCCGTACTAGCAGTCAGCGTCGTCTTCCCAGTCATCGTCTCCGTACTCGTCGGCTGCCCATTCGACCCCGTCAACGTCGTCGCGCTCTCCCACCGAGAAGTGATCTCCGACGCTACATCCGACGCCTTGGACCGGATATCCGATGCCGCCGCGGACGCATCGGACCGTGCATCCGACGCCACCGACGTGCCCCAGGATTCGGCGTTCGAGGCTACTTCCCCGCCCGCGGACGTCAGGGAGGAGTATGCGGCTGCGCCGCCGGTCGCGACCTCAGAGGCGATGGAGGTCGCGTCGCTGGCGATGTCGGTTGCCAGGGATTCGCCCCCGGATACGGCGGTTTGGGCGATACCGATGGCGTCGCTGACGACGTCTGGCGCGGGGGTGGTGAGGGAGGGGGTCGCCAGGAGGGCGGTGGTAAGGAGGAGGGAGGTGAGGGCGTATTTCATGTTGGTGGTTGTTCTTTTTTTAATTGTGGTGGTGGTGTGGTGTGGTGTAGTAGATTAGGTTCGGTAGGAGTGTAGATAGTAGATAGTAGATAGATAAAACCCCGATGTATGGAGAAAGTAGTAGATGTAGATATGATTGATAAGTAGAGAAATATAGAAAGAAGATAAAAGAGCAGGAAAAGCAAAGTATTTATAATCCCCCTACCCTACCCTACCCTATCACCCCAGAGGCTCAAAATAAGGATCACCAGGGCAATACAGTAATACACACGATTTCCACTTGTCTCAACGGATAAGAATAGCACCATCAGTGCCTAGCCACCGTGGCAATGAAAATCCGCCAAGGCACCGACGAATAAAATCTCATCGCGAATTGCAAAAAGTGGATTAGGGGTCGAGAGCCATCATCGGTAATTCGACGGAACACGGCATCGTGGCTCCACTATGAGGACATAGGATTCATTTCTTGGGGGGGGGGAGGGGGACGAGGGTCCACGCAATGCGATTCCATCAGGGCCTTGGTCAGGTTTGAACCTGGAGAGTTAGAACTAGACTACTCGGTTAATGAGACATGAATGGAGTGGGAATGGTGTTGCCTGTGATGACGTTTGCTTTTGCTTGGTTGTTTGCTAGCTTGCTAGTTCTGCATGTTATTCGTGGGCTTGGCTTATTTGCTTATGATGTGGTTGAGGCTTTTTGTTTTTTTTGCATGTATCTTGTTCTTATTCTTGTTAGTAAACTTGTGGCTGTGGCGTGGCGTGGCGCGGCTTGGGCTGTTTTTACTCCGACTTGTTCACCACACTCAACAGTGTACTGCAATAAGTACCACTGTAGTATACTGCCACCACCGAAACAGAACTTATCCGTGAACTCCGAATCTTGGAAACATCCTGGTTCGTTCCGTTGGGTTGGGAAACTGGCTCTCTAATCCCGATTCGCTTCTCTTTTTTGCGGGTTGTGGCTTTGACCGGCTTGCCACCACACCACATGACTGACTGGGATTTGGGTTCTGCCTGCTCTGCTCTGCTCTGCTCACGATGGAGTGTGTCTGTCTGTTGTTGAATACCACTGGATATTATATTTTGGCTTACAGGCAGTAGCACTATACTATTCAAGTTTGAACCAAAGGTCGGTCTTGAGCTTGTAACTGTCTTGAAATGTTCTCAGTTGTACTACACTGGTCGGGTATATCGGCCCGGATTGGACGGGAGAAGGATCGTCGGAGTTTGTGCCTTGGCTTTCGGTATTTCTGACGAAGAGCGTTTCATGTGCGTAATTGCCCAGGCATTTCGTGAGTGCCGGTTCGGTCATCGACCTTTCGAGAAAGCACAGTGTAATGGACTAGACTATAGAGGGAAGAGTTGGGATGTATGGATTTCCGGGGGATCCGGGGGATGTGGTGAGATTGTTCGCTTAGGAAGCAATTGTGCTATGCAGTTACCTAGCATCCTGGATTGTATAGTTGGATTGAAAAGACACCCGTAGTGTGACTGACTGATTGTTTGCTGGCTTGCTGGCTTGCTGGCTGTTGAGGTTTCAGCTGGCAGAGAATACGTTGCCTTGAAGCCACTTGGGGTCCCGCTGGTGATCTAGATTCAATCCTGTCATCTGATGGATGAGACCCTTAATGCCTCAGTCAGTGAATGTTGGTGCCTCAGGTGGCTGGTGGCTGTCGGTCCCGTGGCCCCTGACCCTGTAATCTTATCGAAGTTCAGCATAACTTTAATGTTAATCGAACGATGTTGATATTTTTCTTTTGATGATTATTCATTAGCGAAAATCACTATCCCGAATGATGCGAATTAGTACTTTCGAAAACTTTGTGGTAATTGAATATGCAGCCTGTTCAGACCGCTACTCAGGACGTAGCCATACCCATTCAAGTAATCAAAGCTTGCAGTCGAGATTTATATAGAATGCTGACTTATCAGTTTCTTCGTCAGATATATTTCTTCAAAAGCATGCACACACTGTACCGGACCTCGTTGAACCAACTGTGCCTCCGCTTTGCCGCACTCTGCACTCGGACTACTACTGTCGATTATTAAGTATAGAACCACGTACAACTTGAGGATGATCTCTGCCTTCCAGTAAATTCAAGGCCTCAACTATAATGCATTGTGGGTAGTTATTTCACGAGAAACAATTACGAGCGCGGCTTATATATGGGTGTTGAATCATTGTATCGGTGGTTACTGTTTGCCCTAGCCATGGTTCTCGACCAGATGTCGACAGGTATCGACGCTAAGATTAGATCCCCACAGGATGGATAAGCGATCGAGTTCTTTTTTCGCTATCGTAGGTTATCTCAAGGTTATCTTAGCGTCATCGCGACATATGAGAAAAGAGGCATCCTTAAAAACAGGGTAATGTTCCTTTTCCGAAGTAACTACGATCAGTGTAAAAGGTGCCTTAAAATCTTAGAGGCACTGCCGAGGTATGCTCATTCGCAGAGGATTGAACATGTCAGAAATCACTTGATCACAGCGTTTAGCGAAGAAAATAGAATAGATTCGCTATATAGCACTATATAAAATGAATAACAACTCAAATTCGCCAGCGGAACTCAAAATATTCGACTAAGCATCTTGTCAAGCAGCATCCAGCGGACTCATTCGTACTGCCTTAGTTGGAAGTGTAAGAGCAAACGTTGGGGTTCTTGCTGTACTCAACGCGGGCAGCAATACCCTCACAGCCCTCGTTCCAGCCGGGCTTCTCGACACCAGCATCGGCCCAGATGCTCCAGGCACCCTGGATGCTGTTGGGGCAGGCAATCAGGTCCTTTCCACCGAACTGCAGGTGGTTGTTCTTGTCGATGGACCAGCCCTGGCGTTCACCGTTCTTGGGGGCGGGCTGAGCGCCGGTGGTGTATCCGATCTTGCCTTGGCCTGTAACAAATCCATATTAGCTATAAAGTACTTTTGACTACACGATAGGAAAGAGGATAAACATACCCATGCCGGAGCGGTCAACGTAGAGCTCCTGGGGAGTCGCAGACTGGTCGTACAGGTAGAGAGCACCGTTGTCGAGGACGAAGGTGGCGGTCTGGTCCTGGGGGTTGGAGCAGCTGGCGTTCTGGCTCTTCAGGCCGGCGAAGATGCTGCCGAGGGCGGCGTTGAAGGGGGCATACTGAACGCCGCTGCCGGAGTGGATGGAGATGACGCCGAAGGGCTGATTGGTGGCAGCGTCGGTGGCCGGGAGAGCGGCGGCAGTAGCGGCGGCGAAGATCAGGTTCTTGAGCTGCATCTTGAAGGATGGTTTGATATAGATTTGAGTAGAGTTGGTTTGTTGTTGGTTGGATTTGAAGGATGTCAGAGGCTCGTTGTGATGATGAAGGTCTGATTATCGAGGACATCAAGCTACCTTTTATACCTTTCATCTCGCTCGGCCAGCACCATAATTAGTAACGGCCGCTTTACAGCTGCCAATATACAATGTCTCAACCCACAGGCAGTCCCTACTTACCCAGTACAGCAGGTATGCTGTCATCGCCCCCCAGAAAGGGCGATTGGTCCGATGGAAGCTTCTATTGGGAGATGATTGCTTTAGTCTAAAATTCAGGGTCCCCCCCGGATGGCAATAAAGGGACCTAAATTTAACACGGCGAGGGTTGAAAGGCCTGTTTATTGGCTGTGGCTGGAGGCCATGTGGGTGCCCCTGGCAGACATCGGAGAAATGGCAACGGTGATTGCAGGAATTCCAGTTAGTGGATTCGCTTCTTATGGGTGAGGGAAATCGATCGGCGCATATGAGACCCACAATAGTACAGACATGTCTCATTCTGGGGGAGGCGGACGGGCCGAAGTGACACCATGAGTTTGTCATTGATTGAGAGGAGTGTCTTACGGGGATGTGGGATGACTGTATGAGGGGTTGATAGTGAGACATACATATATGTTGCAGCCGTGATGGGCGATATAGATAGTCCATTTCGTGGGAGATTATGGGACTGGTAAAAGGGGACGAGGGGGTCGATAGGATAGACCCTTGCGGATTGGTGCAGTTCGATTCCCACAAAGCCTCATTTGGGATTGGCAAACCTCGGGAACAACGACAAGCGAAACCGTTGTCTTAGTTGACTATTTAGCCGTTAATGCAGCCGGCGAGGCTGTGATTGAGGATATGATGAGTGGCTCTCCCCCTTTCCGATGGCCTTCCGACCCGTTGAAGAAATTGTGGGACAATTCCCCACTGATGAGATGGGATCGACAAAGGTATAGTTCGATAGACTTGTTCCTTCTTTTGGGCGAATAAGATCTACTAGCAATTGGAAGTACCTTGTTGATACTACCATTCGGACCTTCGGGGTGTCGAGGCCACAGATGAGACTGAATGGGAGGTAACACCCACTCCATTCTTGCTTGTTCTCTCCCTCAGCTACCTCAGAAATGTTTTGGAGTCGCACGTCGTGGGTAGACTGTCCGTCACCAAGAAGAGTCGTTGCATTCAGATTGATTGTCGGTATTCAGTTGGTAGATCACGCACTTTACATCGTAGTCACTACCGGTTCGAGCGTGCAGATGTGGCATGTACCTCGATTCCAATAGAAGCTAATAGTCCGAAGAAGTCTCTTGGCATGGAGAGGGCTGTTTAGGATGGTGCAGTAGCCGAATGTTGCTCTAAGTGGCAGTTTCTCAGTCAGTAATATCTACCTGAGACATTGGAGTCATTCGTACTATTTCCCTAGTGTCAATGGGCAGAGAATGTATGGAACAGACTGGTGATCGCAGCTAAAAGGCATTTAGCTTAGAAGCCTAGGCGATGATAACCGACTGAGACACAGATGGTTCTAGAATTTTTCAAGTCATGAAGCTGGAAGATACGGGCAGATCACGCAACGAGGGCCTCCCTTCTGTATGGTAATTTAACATTTGGTGCTGCCACGGCATAGTAACAGCGTATATGATCTATTACGTTACATTAGGGAGAAAGTATTTCCCTTCCCATAGTGGTTTGGTGCTGATTATGTCTACGCATTCGTCAACTCAGCTTATTCTGTAACAGCAATTACCCTCAGTTCGGAACTTGAGCCCTCCGCCTCTTCAAAGCACTCTTCAGTATGTGTTCAATAAGCTCATCATACGAGACATTGTTGTGTTCGGCGATCATGGGCAATTGTGACCAATGTGGGAGAAGACCGGCCAGAGGATTGATCTGAACCATTGTGAGCCAAGGACAAGTATGTTCGTCAGTTGATTTGCCTACCTCCATGACATGAGCGACTGGCGACCCAGAGGAGCCATCCATCCGTATATCAACTCTTCCTCCATCGCGACAGCCAAGAACAGTCCATGCTCGAAGAGCTGTTCGACATGCAAGGTCGGCCTCTTGGTCATCCCGACCGACCTTGATCTCGTCTGCCTCTCCAGCCCAATCCTCGGCCGACTTCGACTTTTCAGTGGTGTACTCTACTGTCTCAGGATTAGATTTTGTTGACTCGTTGCTACACCATACTATCTCGTCGACACCGACCACCCATGCATCCTCGCCCGTTCCCAGAATGCCCACAGTGAACTCTCGACCCGGAAGATACTTCTCGGTGAGAACCCCAAGCGATGAGGGGCTAGAATCTCGGAGAGAATTGACCACCTCACATATGGATTCGATGCTCTTTATTCTGTTGCTTGTTCCAATTCCTTTGGAAGAGCCTTCGGCAAGAGGCTTTGCGAATAACGGATATTTCGTCAGCAGCGTTTCGGAATGGCGAGACATGCGAATCATAGACAGGATCTTATCTAATGAGATTTGCGACATTCCATATTTGAAGTGTATCACTGCAAATGGGGCAGTCGGGACATTGAAATGCTCAAGGACCATCTATCAAGCCTCCGTTAGCTGCAATGGCCTGAAATAGTTCCCATGCCCACCGACCTTTGTTCTGCCCTTGTCCAAACACAATGCCATCGTGGCCGCATCCGAAAACGTGAACGGGATCTGGTAGGCCTCCGAAAATGCGGGAACTTGACCTTCTCGGGCTAATCCATGTAGGCCCTCTGTGGTATTGAATGCCAAGTCCCACATACTACCCTCGCCATTTGCGAGCCTTTTAACCAGAGAATGGATGTCTGGGATAAGGACAACCTCATGTCCCAACTTATTGAGAACTGCAGCTATGTGATCGGCAGCTTCTCCGACCTCGAACCTGTTGCAGTCCACATCTGAATAACCGAGGGCTTTGTAGGCCTCGCGGAACTCATAAATGAGAGCGATCTTGAGGGATCCGTGAGTCATAACGGCGCATATTTGGATTGACAGTAGTGTGAGAATACGTCGGCGTTTTATATCCTGCTTAAGCAATTCTGACAAGTCACGTCCGAAACCTTAGCCGTACTGCATACGCATAAACCATGTGATTTGGCATACAATTCTCATAGGTGAAGTTGCGGTGTGACTTTCTATCATGCGTCTGCACTCATGCGTGGGCCTATCCAATCACGAAGCTGATGCATTTTTGCCCTCATTTGCGAATAAACTCGGATTTTGGAAAATTATGGCTTGTCTTACGGTGAATGCTTTCAATTTGACGGATGCGCCTTGCGAAACCTCCTTTCTGGTAGTTCTTGGAAGTTTGATTCCGAGTATATTAGCCATATAAATGGTGAAAAAATATTGAAATACTCTATAATTATCATCTGTATCAATTCATGGAACTGTTGCACCTTGTTCGGCTACACTCCTCGTCGGCTTTGGTAGTATTTCGCTGATTGTTACCCCTCGACAAGAAGTGACGTTTTGATGAATGCAAGATAATAGATTGAGCTATATTGACACTGGTTCTTGATTAGAGATGTTTCATTATCCTTGCTTTGACCCAATGAAGAAGTGCGTCTCGCTACCATGTCATACTGATGTACTTTTGAATGTCGTCTCTGTAATTCTGTAACTTGCATTCGATCTTCAAAATTGCTGAAGGGGGATTTAGTAGCATTCTTCAGGTCATGTTCAAGGGTGTAACGTCAGAGAAGCTCGTGTTCCGGTGCAAGATAAAATGCAGGAATTGTATGGAATGAGGGAGGTGATCATTCCGGCTGCGTATTTGGCAATGAACAACTGACGAATCTAAGAGAATTATGCAAAAGATCAATGCGGGTTTAATCAAAAACTCGAACATTGAGGTTGAGCATTTGTGGTGCTCAATGATCTCCCGATTGACCATCACAATCCTTGAAGAGCAGAATTGCTCAAGACTGTTCGAAGCTGTGAGCTGATGTCATGAATTTGTGTTCCCGGCTAATTAAATAGAAATGCATTATGTCCGAGTCTTCAGGCCGAGAGCATCGGTTAAATGCGTAAATACAAATAGTCTGCAGACGCACCCCGCACTTGACGCATTTCATGGTCCAGCGCCTTTAGTACTAACAGCCGGGCCTGGGAATCATGATGTTGCTTCACTTCATGGCATATGCTGCACTGAGCAGTGTAGTAACCGCTACATCCCTACACCCACGGCTGCAAGATGGCTTAGCATTGACACCACAAATGGGGTAGGCTGACCACGCCTTGACCATGTACAGGACTAATACCATTGGCCAGGTGGAACACATACAATCACTACTCGTGCTCCCCAAACGAGACCATCGTTCGGTCCAATGCACAAGCATTGGTTGACCTAGGCTTATCATCACTTGGATATCGCTATGTCACGACAGACTGCGGTTGGACGGTCGCAGACCGACTGCCTGACGGATCCTTGACCTGGAATGAAACCCTGTTTCCTCAAGGATTCCCTGCTATGGGTGACTTCCTCCATGACTTGGACCTCTTATTCGGCGTGTACCAAGATTCTGGAATTCTGTTATGCGGAAGTCCGCCGAATGAGACAGGAAGCCTGTGTATGCCAACAATCAAGGCCAAATGCGAGAGCGAATTGCTAATCGAGCACCGTAGATCACGAAGCGCAAGATGCCAGGACATTTGCCTCGTGGAATGTTGACTCTCTCAAATGTATGTCCATAGTATTCTGCTTGAGTCCACATTCTAATGGGGCTACCTAGACGACAACTGCTACTCTGACGCCGCAACTAACTACCCCGACGTAAACTACGCCCCCAGCACCTCTCCGGAACCCAGATTTGCCAACATGTCTCATGCGTTATCGCAGCAAAATCGAACCATTCTATTCCAGATCTGCGAATGGGGGATTAGCTTCCCCGCAGGTTGGGCCCCTGCTCTCGGTCATTCTTGGCGGATTGGCAACGACATCATCCCTGCCTGGCGGACCATTTACCGCATAATAAACCAGGCAGCTCCACAAACGGATTTTGCTGGTCCAGGGCAATGGCCCGACCTCGACATGCTCGAAGTGGGGAATAATATATTTTCTCTCCCGGAGGAACAGACCCATTTCTCTCTCTGGGCCGTTCTCAAGAGCCCGCTGATTATTGGCGCTGCACTGAAGGACGAGCTCACTGCTATCAATGACGCGTCACTAGCAGTCCTCAAACAGAAGGACGTGATAGCATTCAATCAGGATGCACTAGGGAAGAGTGCGAGTCTACGCCGGCGCTGGACCGAAGAGGGTTATGAGGTATGGAGTGGGCCGCTATCAAACGGACGGACAGTCGCTGCAGTCATCAATTGGCGCAACGAAAGCAGGGATCTGACTTTGGATTTGCCGGACATTGGGCTCCAACATGCAGGGACCGTGAAGAACATATGGGACGGTACTACTGCGCAGGATGTGCTCACTTCGTACACGGCGACAGTAGCCGGTCATGGCACGATGTTGCTCGAACTTCAGAATACGACTGCGGTCGGAGTGTATCCGCGAGGAATTTTCGGGGAGACTTCTGGGTATGTCCATCCTCGTCTTGACATGTATGTTTCTGACTTGTTAGGCAAACGGCAACATTCGAAAACATTTACGCCGTGACAACCAGTTCCAAGTACACAGTTAGCGTCTACTTCTCGCAGCCAGCTTCTTCAGCAGAAACCATCACCATCGGATCAAATGCCAACCAGAGTATAATATCCGCACAGGTCCCCGCATCATCGACGCTAGTCTCCGCGAAAATCCCACTTACTGCCGGCTCCTCCAACACAATTACCATCAACACCTCCATACCCATTGACGCCATTCACATCACTGCTCCGAATGGAACGTACTACCCTTGCACAAACTTTACCCTCGCCGGGTCTACTACACTGACTACCTGTGGGAGCGGTTATTGTCAACCGGTTGGCTCAAAGATTGGCTACATCAGTCCCAGCGGCACAGCCAAAGCAACGATTTCCGCGACGACGAGTGGGAGCAAGTATCTGGAAATTGACTGGATTAACAACGAGATTGCCTTCGACTCGTCCTGGGGCTGGGGATCCAACTCTCGGAACTTGACCCTGACGGTAAACAGTGAGGATCCGGTGCGGATCGAAGTGCCGCTGAGCGGAAGACATAGCGAGCTGTTCGGTCCGGGGTTGGGATGGTGGGATACTGCAACCTTAGGACTACTGACTAGTGGCTGGAAGGAAGGGCTAAACGAGGTGGTAGTTGGGAATGTGGGGGGTGACGAAGGATTCCAATCTTACGGGGCCGATCTTGTGGGAATCCGGGTGTTGGATTAGAAGGGATGGGAGAGTACAGTAGCAATCGTAGAGCATCTTCATCCATCACAGGCCCTGGTAGATGAAGAGGAAGAAAGAAGAAGCTGTTCTTTAATCACCTGATCGTGGGCACGGGATGCGCGAGTTCGGGGAAGAGCGGGACACAGCCAGCTTTTCTTCCCATCCTTTTTCCTCTTTCTCTTCCATCTATCTACCACCAAGCTTCTCCCCGGGGTATTTCCAGTCGGAATCGAATCCAATTGTCGGCCCCCACGAGGGAAGATACATACTCCGAATAGTCTTCAACTCCCCTTAATTCAGTTAGTCATTCATTTGTCATGTCATGCGGCATGTTTGTCTCCCCAGTCCCCACCCTACTTCTCGTGCCTGGGGAGAATGACATCGTTCTGGGGAAACGTGAGAAGCGAATAAGGTTCCGCAGTCATTAAGAAGACCATGGCACAAACGGCCTAACTACAGCTAGCTTCACTTGGCGTTCTTGCGAGCCCAACATGATGGTAGTATCTGCCGAAGTTCTGCCGGCATCGTCGTCACGTTTTCCCGTTCTGGGGTGCAGAACGCGGAGGTCTCGCTTATTCCGAGTGTGGAGTCCCCGCAATTCAACGCTCCATACTCATGCCACCGACTTCGTGGAGCCGAACAGGGGACCGAAGTCGGCCACGCGACTTGTTCACCATACGAGCTATCCCCACGGATGTCGCTCGCTGTGCAACACCTAATTGGCTATGATTCCGAGATTGGCCCGGAACCCTATGCCATTCATTCTTCCGGGTTCTTGTGCGGTCCATGCCGCCGTCATTCTGCCTCAGTCATTGCCGAGTGTTCACGAAGCCATGGCCGTATTTGTGGATGGAATGGGCTTGGCTCATGGTGGACTTTGGAGCGAACAATTGAGTGTTTGGATCTTGCGCCGTGGGTATATAAGGACCCAGATATTCGCCTAGGATGTCTCTTAACTCGCCATCAAGGAAATCCTCCGCAGCAACTTTGAGAAGATGAAGGTGTCGCTCACCCTCTATGCGGCTGCGCTGCAGCTGGCAGATGCCGCTGTAGTCCAGAAGCGAACAGTCGACGTTGCTGAGCTAGAGCACTACTGGTCCTATGGACGCTCAGAACCTGTCTATCCCACCCGTAAGTCATCCTGACCTGCTAGTCATGATCAAATCTAATCCAGCCATTAGCCGAAATCAGTGGATCGGGTGATTGGGAAGAGGCGTTCACTAAAGCCAAGTCTCTTGTGGCACAGATGACCGACGATGAGAAGAATAACATCACCTATGGTTATACGTCTACGACAAACGGTTGCTCTGGAATGTCTGGTGGTGTCCCCCGACTGGGGTACCCAGGGATGTGTCTTCAAGATGCAGCGAGCGGTGTGCGGGGAACTGACATGGTCAACGCTTACGCCTCGGGTCTCCATATCGGGGCTTCGTGGAACCGTGACCTCGCCTATGAGCACGCACATTATATGGGTGCAGAGTTCAAGCGCAAGGGAGCGAATGTTGCTCTTGGACCCGTTGTAGGCCCGTTGGGCCGCATGGCGCGAGGTGGTCGCAATTGGGAAGGATACAGTAATGACCCCTACCTCTCTGGTTCCCTCGTTCAGAACACCATCCGTGGTCTTCAGGAGTCCGTCATTGCCTGCGTCAAGCATTTCATCGGAAATGAACAGGAGACGAACCGCAACACGCCCCAACTACTGGAAGACAGCTATAACCAGTCTGTCTCCTCCAATATTGATGACAAAACTATCCACGAGCTTTACTTGTGGCCCTTCCAGGATGCAGTCAAAGCTGGTGCAGGTGCCGTCATGTGCAGCTACAATCGCATCAACAACAGCTATGGATGTCAAAACAGCAAGAACTTGAATGGTCTGCTGAAGGGTGAACTGGGATTCCAAGGGTTTGTCGTCTCTGACTGGAGTGCCCAGCATTCGGGTATTGCCAGTGCAGCGGCAGGTCTCGATATGGTCATGCCTGACTCAGTCTATTGGGAAAATGGCAATCTATCGTTGGCTGTCCGTAATGGATCGCTCTCGTCTACGCGTCTCGATGACATGGCAACTCGCATCGTCGCTGCATGGTACAAGTATGCAGAGCTAGAAGACCCCGGCTTTGGCATGCCCATCAGCCTGCTGGAAACCCATGAGCCAGTTGATGCTCGTGACCCTGCCTCCAAGGCCACCATTCTCCAGGAGGCTATCGAAGGCCACGTCCTTGTCAAAAACACTGACAATGCCTTGCCTCTGAAGGAGCCCAAGATCCTATCACTTTTTGGTTATGATGCCATCGCCGCGCAACGCAATACCATGGATGACCTTTCCTGGAGTCTCTGGACCATGGGCCTCGATAACACTCTAAGTTATCCTAACGGCACCGCCGTGGACCCCTCTCACCTTAAATACATGTTTCTCTCTAGCACCAACCCCTCTGAAAATGGCCCTGGTGTGGCCTTGAATGGTACCATGATCTCCGGGGGTGGCTCGGGCTCCAGCACCCCATCCTACATCGACGCTCCCTTCGATGCCTTCCAACGTCAGGCCTACGAAGACAACACTTTCCTTGCCTGGGACTTTGCCTCTCAGTCTCCAGTTGTGAACCCGGCTAGTGAAGCGTGTCTTGTCTTCATTAATGAAGCCGCAGCTGAAGGTTGGGACCGTCCGTACGTGGCCGACCCCTACTCCGACACTCTGGTCGAGAACGTCGCCTCCCAATGCAATAACACAATGGTGATCATCCACAACGCTGGTATCCGTCTCGTCGACCGCTGGGTCGACAACCCCAACATCACTGCCGTCATCTACGGTCATCTCCCCGGCCAAGACAGCGGTCGCGCCCTCGTCGAGATCATGTACGGCAAGCAATCCCCCTCTGGCCGTCTTCCCTACACCGTCGCCAAGAACGCCTCTGACTACGGTGCTCTCCTGAGCCCTGTCGTTCCTTCCGGAACTAAGGACTTGTACTACCCGCAGGACAACTTCACCGAGGGTGTCTATATCGACTACAAGGCCTTCGAGCAGAAGAATATCACCCCTCGCTATGAATTCGGCTACGGTCTCACCTACTCCACCTTCGATTACTCGGGTCTCAAGGTCTCCCTTCACACCGGTGTGAACACTGACTACCTACCTCCCAACTCTACCATCGAGGAAGGCGGTATTCCCTCCCTCTGGGATGTAGTGGCTACGGTTACCTGCTCGGTCGCCAACACTGGATCTGTTGCTGCGGCTGAAGTCGCTCAGCTCTATCTGGGTATCCCCGGTGGCCCAGCGAAGGTCCTCCGTGGTTTCGAGAAGAAGCTTATCCAGCCCGGCCATCACAAGGAGGTCCAATTTGATCTGACGAGACGCGATCTTAGTTCATGGGATGTAGTGAACCAAGCTTGGGTTTTGCAGAAGGGTGATTATTCGGTTTATGTGGGAAAGAGTGTGCTTGATACCCAGTTGACGGGGACGTTGACGATCTAATGAGCTCACGAGCTTTGACTGTTACGATTAGATGTATAGAAATTCACTTTGAATGTTTTGTTTAAACTTTTGGTCTAATCTATATGGGGTATCTCTTGTAATGATTCTAGTTGTATGGACATGCTTTTGGAGAGGTCGTCATCTCGAAACATAAAATATGCGGGCACTTATGATACTCCTGACAACACGAGTCCCACAAGTACGTACCTGGGGTCATGCACCTTCATGAAGAATGGGGTGGCACAACTCCCTCAGTGTCGCATCACTAAGCAGTTCACGGTGCTTTGCCCCTCACGTAGGGCGCTTCTTGTCATAATTGCTCAGACAGTGACGAGGTGTTCAGAGGGTGTGCCTGAGTATGCCTATCATCGATGATAATGTCTGCAACATCGGATCATGCGACAGAACAGAGATAGATCATCATCCCGATCCTGATGCTCATGTTACTGGCAATCAAAGAGCCTTGGCAAGGGTGTGGGTTGGTGAAGCTTTTGCAAAACTGGCCATGTTTTCTAAAGGAGTGCTCAACCGCCAGGACAGCAAACAAAATGGCAGCGTTTTCCAGTATGGAGGTAGTACCACCCAACGAGCGATCAAGCAGGCTGAACCCCCTCGTACCCCGGAGCGATCAAGCAGGCTGAACCCCCTCGTACCCCGAGAGATTTTCATAGTACCTCTTATCCAGACCAGCCTGCAACCTGGCCTCTGTATTGAACGGTTCTCTCAATGGCCCGCGGAAGTACTTTTGTACATTTCCCCGGAACACCTTGACAGGATCCGTCTCCTCCTGGGCACAAATCCAGGTCAACCAGCGATGACCCGTCGTGACATGGGTAATCTCATCATTGTGGATGATCTCCAACGTGTCCACGCTATCTCCATCTCCGGCCTTGCGGAACTTGTCAATCGTCACTGGATTCACATCCAATCCGCGCGCCTCGTGCACCAACGCAATGATGCTGATCCGGGCGCGCAGATCATGGGCAGTCACGGTCGCAGAGTCCCATAGTCCATGGTGGACCGGAAGGGCACCGAAATACGAGCCAAGTTCCTCGAGCCTTGTACGCAGGAGAGAGAAATGCTTCGCCTCATCATTAGCAACCTTCAACCAGTCGTGGAAAAACGCCCGCGGGAGACCCAGCGCATCCGGCGAGTCCGTCTGGAACTTCGCGAACCGCACACAGATATCGACCGCCAGATCGATTGCCCATTGTTCGATGTTCGCCAGCGCATGCAGCATGTTGATCCTGCTCTTCTGCGTACCACCTCTACCCGGCTTCGGAACTGCCTGTCTGTTCACATCCTTGACGCCATCCCTAGGCGGTAAATCAGGAAGGTCAACACCGTCCCTAGTCCCGATAACCATAGGCTTATCCGTTCCCTCCCGCTCCGTAAACAGTTTGAATAAATGCGCCGTCAACTCGATCTTATGTTCCGGGTTCGAAGTGTTCAAGATATGCGCACACCATTCACACACCGTCGCATCATCATCATCCAGATACCGGATAGGAGCGGTCTCGCTCTCATCCTCACCACCCGCTCCATTCGTCGCCGTCGCACCGTTCACACCCTTGACACTCTTCTTCAATTTCATCTGCTCACTGACAGCCTCCAACTTCGCCAACTCCACTCCCTCCCCCAGTTTCTCAGAGGTATATTCAACAACCACCATATCCTCATCGCTCACATCAACAGGAAACGTGCACGCCTTG